AAATGTTAAGGTGTAACATAGTATTTTGCAGACCAGCTGTAAACAGGATGAGCCTGACAAGAACTCAACCAGGTAAGTGCAGCCAACTGCAAAGAAGAAATCAACATGTAACTGACTAAATATGAATATAAGCAATGGACAAACCACCCATCAGGGGAGACAGAGCTTTGCATATGAATCCCCTGTCTCCTCTACTTGCTGCAAGTAAATAAAACTACTTTGCTACAACCATGTCTTGTTCTTCAATGAACACTCCAAGCTGTGAACGTCTTGGGTTCAGTAATATGTAGACCATGCCAACATGCATCTAAACCTTTTTTCTAACCTACCTTTTTCTTACTAGCTTTCTTACATGTTTTGAAATTATGATTTCTTGTTATACTCCCCACCTTGGGAAATACTTTTGCATTTATTGGTCCTAAATTGATTTTTTAACCTAGAATTTGGGGATTTAATGCACAAATCCTCACTCTCCCTACTTATGCTATTCATGACTGTGTGGATTCTCTTCTGCTCACACTGCTTCCCATAGCCCTGGGCTTTAGAAGCAGAAGTCAGAGCAGCTTCTGTTTGCCACACTGAGGAAGTTAGGCAGCTCTGTTCCTGCCCAGCTCCACCCCCACCTTGACTGTTAAGCGTTCTTTCCGTGTGAAGCCCTTCATTAAATACAGAAACAAAGCAACAGTGAGAGAAAAAACAGAAGCCCAGAAAGATGACTATAATACAGACTTTTGTCTGCTTACCACCGCCTGTTCTGTTGGGGATCTGCCTAAGCGCAGAGGGACCTAGCAGCTTGGCAGGACGGGTTTGGAGTCTGAATCAAATAACAGCAGAAGGAAGACACCAAAAGTCTGGTTGTCAGAGCTTCTTGGATTCTGCTTAAGCCTTTGCTTCTACATTGTCTGTTTTTACCAGTATGTAAGATAGGAGTAAATAATCAATGTAGCTTATAAAAATATTTTTATTTTGCTTAATCCCTTCACCTTTGCCACCCAGTCCCCCTAACCCCTATGTTCTGACAGCTGTTCAGTCTGTTCTATGTATGTATGAGTCTGGTTTTGGGGGGAGTTTTTTTTTTAGTTAGTTTATTTTGTTCATTAGGTTCCACATATAGTGAAATCATATGGTGATTGTCTTTCTCTGACTGGTTTATTTCACCTAGCATTAAACTCTTCAAGTTCATTCATGCTGTCGCAAAGGTTAAGATTTCCTTCTTTTTTTCCTTTCCTTTTTTTAAATCTTCAGCTGAGGGCATTTTTTCATTGCTTTTAGAGAGAGAGGAGGGGAGAGAAACATCTAAGTGAGAGAGAAATATTAATTGGTTGCCTCCTGCACACGCCTGGACCAGGGATCACAGGCACCAGACTGGGGATCAAACGCACAGCCTAGGCAAGTGCTCTGGCCAGGAATCAAACCTGCAACCTTTTGGCTCTGGGACGAGGATCCAACCAAGTGAGCCACACCAGCAAGGGCAAGATTTCCTTTTTCTATGGCTGAGTAGTATTACACTTTGTAAAGATTACAGGTTTTTTATCCACTCATCCACTGACCGGCACCCGGGCTGCTTCCAAATTTTGGCTAACGTAAATAATGCTGCAACAAGCAAGGGTGCATATTTTTTCAAATTAGGTTTCAGGTTTTTTTGATATTCCCAGAAGTGGAATTGCTGGGTCATAAGGCAATTCTTTTTTTTTAATTTTTTGGGGGTAACTCCATGCTGCTTTCCACAGTGGCTATAACAATCTGCATTCTCACCAAAAGTGCACGAGGGTTCCCTTTTCTTCACATCCTTGCCAACACTTGTTATTTAGTGATATATTGATGATAGCCATTCTGACAGGTGTGAGGTGATATCTCATGGTGATTTTAATAAGCATCTCTCTCATGATTAGTAATGATGAGCATCCTTTCATATATCTATTGGCCATCTGTATGTCCTCTTTGGAGAAGTGTCTATTCAGGTCTTTTGCCCATTTTTTTAAATTGGATTGTTTGTTTTTTGGGTGTTGTGTTGTATAACTTCTTTATAAATTTTGGATATTAACCCTTTATTAAAGGTATCACTGGCAAATATGTTCTCCCATTCAGTGGGTTGTCTTTTCATTTTTTTGAAGGTTTTCTTTGCTGTGCAAAACTGTTTGATGTAGTCCCATTTATTTATTTTTTCTTTTGTTTCCCTCACCTGAGGAGATAATTAGAAAAAATACTGCGATGTAAAATGTCTGATATTTTACTGCCTATGTTTCCTTCTAGGATTTTTATGATTTCAAGTTTAACATTTAAGTCTTTAATCCATTTTTAGTTTATTCTTCTATATGGTATAAAAAGGTCATCTAGTTTTATTTTTTTGTATGTGCCTGTCCAATTTTTCCAACACTATTTGTTGACTAGACTATCTTTACCCAATTGCATATTCCTGCTTCCTTTAATAAGTATTAATTGACCATAATGGCAAGGGTTTGTTTCTGGTCTCTATTCTGTTCCTTGATCTGTGTGTCTGTTTTCATGCAAGTACCATGCTGTTTGATTACTATGGCCTTGTAGTATGGTTTGATACCAGGTAGAATGATTTCTCCAACTTTGTTCTTCTTTCTCAACATTGATGTTGCTATTTGGGGTCTTTTGTACTTCTACATAAATTTTTGGATATTCTGGTTCCGTATAATACACCATTGGCAACTTGATAGGAATTGCATTGAATCTGTAGATTGCTGTGGGTAGTATGAACATTTTAATTATGTTAACTCTGCCTATAAATGAACATGGTATGTGCTTCCACTTATTTGTATCTTCTTCAATTTCTTTCCTCAGAGTCTTATAATTTTCCAAGTACAGGTCTTTTATAGCCTTGGTTAAATGTATTTCTAGATATTTTGTTTCTTTTTGATGGAATTGTTTTCTTAGTTTTCCTTTCTGATAGTTCATTATTGGTATGTAGAAATGCAATGAATTTCTGTATATTCATTTTGTCTCTGGCTACTTTACTGAACTCATTTATAAGTTCTAGTAGTTTTTTGGTGGAATCTTTAGGGTTCTCTATATACAGTATCATGTCATCTGCAAATAATGATAGTTTTATTTCTTCCATTCCAATTTGGATGCCTTTTATTTCTTCTTCTTGTCTTGGTGCTGTGGCTAGAACTTCCAGTACTATGTTGAATAAGGGTGGTTAAAGCAGACATCCCTGTCTTGTTCCTAATCTTATGGGAAATGCTTTTACTTTTGCTCATTGGGTATGATGTTGGCTGTGGGTCTGTTATGCGTGGCCTTTATTATGTTGAGATATATGTGGCCTTTATTATGTCGCTCCATTCCCACTTTGCTGACAGTTTTTATCATAAACTGGTGTTGAATTTTATCAAATGCTTCTTCTGCATCTATTGATGATCACATGATTTTCCTCCTCCATTTTCTTTATGTGGTATATCACATGTATTGATTGGCAGATATTTTACCAACCTTGCAACCCAGGAATAAATTCCACTGACTTCTTTAAATTCCACAAACTCCTTTATCTTTTTTCCCCCCTTATCTGAAAAGCTTTATATTTCTCCTTCAATTTTGAATGATATCTTTGCTGGGTAAATCTGTCTTGGTTGTAGGTCCTTGCTTTCAATCACTTTAAATATTTCATGCCATTCCCTGTGGCCTGCTCAGTTTAAAAACAACTCTTTTCTTTTTTAATGTCACTTAAATGATTCCACAGACTTCATGGATGTCAAGTCTGGTGAAGCTGATTTCATTTACCCATTTCCAAAAGTTGCTCGTTTTTTAAATGGTTAATCAAGGCTTATACAATTGCAGACTGTTTCCTAACTCTGGAAGACATGGTGGTGCAATTCTCTAACCATGAGAGATTCTGAAACAGCAATGACAGTGTCCCAATTTGCCCAGAATACAGCACATGTCCAAACAAATTACAAAAGAATGCAGCTTTCTCTCTCTAGGAAAAGTCTGGTAGGAGCTAGTCCTCACAGTGTTCCTGCCTCCAGGAAGAAAAGTCTAAGCTTAGCTCTTGGCCTGACTCCTTGATGGTCAGCGGAGACTCCTTGGAGTCCTGTGTTCAGACACATTAGGAATTGATGATGGACGCAAACTGTTGCTGAAGTGCATTTGAGCCCATGGTCTCCTGGCCTCTGGTTTTGGAAACGTTCACCCAGCCAGACATTTAATTTTCAGTGAAGCAGGGAAAAGGGGACCTCTCTGGGGTGGCTATGCCACAGCATATACTTACAATTCATCACATTTGGGTTTTTTAAGTATAATGTTACTTTACAGTTATATGGTGCCTGGCAATTTTCAGATTTTCATTTGGTGCTCAAAACAGTTTCAGGAGGTAGATATTGTTATCCTGTTTTCACAGATGAGTCTTAGAGAGGTCATGCTGCTTAAATTCAGGTCTGCCTGATTCCAAAGCTTATGCTCTTTTTCTTTCTTTTACTTTGAAATAATTATAGAGTCCCATAAGGTTATAAAGAAATATACAGAGAAGTCCTGTGCACCTTTGCCCCAGCCTCCTCCAATGTTCACATCTTGCACAAATTGAGCATAACATTAAAACCTGGAGAAGGACATCGGCATAATCCGCAGGACTCACTCTGAGCTCACCAGTTATACACATGCTCTGTGTGTGCATAGCTCTTACGCAATTTTCTCATGCGCTTTTTATGCATAGACTACACACACCATTCTACCATTTTAAAATATGAAGTCAGGTTATAGGGACAAATAAAATGACTTCCCTCAATAAAATAGTATCTACTAACAATTACATATTACCAAACAGTTTTTCACATCTAGTTGTAGTTAAGAAGAAAGAAAAGGAAGAAATCCTGTAAACCTCAGCTCTTGGGAGCACTAGTCTATGCTACATGCCTTTATGGGGGTTTTTCTGGAGCTGATGACAGCTATGAAACAGAGGAACTGGACTTACTGATAATTATGGCAGCAATAGCCTCTCGTGTCAGAAACCTGCATCAGTAAAAGAAAGGCGATCTCACCTTGCCTTCAAATTTAGTCTTGTCGGCTTCCTTTTCCAGGGAGTTCAAATCTGCCTCCACATCTGAGGGTTGCTCAGATGTTTTCTGAGGAGGAGCTAAAGAGACAAAGAAAACCTGCCATTAATTTGGTGATTTGGCTTATAAATCACTCAGCTCTTGGACTGACTTGAGCAAGTAGCTGGACTGTGTTGAGGCAGTTGATTAACAAACCTAAGTTGAGTTGCTGTGGTGATGGCTGAAGCGGTAGGTGAACTTAGTTTCTGGGTCCCATGGCCAAAATGCCATCCTTCTAATGCCACCAGCACATCACTGTGATTCTTATGTGTGGTGGCCTTGGTGGAGGTCGCCCATCTAACTTCCAGGAACCCCTGGCAACGCTCAGATTCTATGAGCCAACTGGAAGCAGTTTGGGCTTTCTATGGGTTTTTCAAGGAAGCTCTGCTGAAATCTGTGGTGAAGTGCAGGTTTGCTGCCCCCATGAAGCTGTTCTACAGCAATGGGCAATCCTCTGGGCTCCTCCCTTTCTGCAGGATCTCTGTAAGCTGAGTGATTCCAGGTATAATAATTGGATACTGAACATGTATTCACTGTAATTGGCAATGCCCATGACCGAGAAGCACCTGCCCTTAACACCATTAAGTACAATGACAAAATTAAAGGCAGGGATGTGGGAGCCATACTGCCTTCATTCAAGTCTTGCTCTTTCATGTATGAATGAGATGCACATTACAGAGACATCCTGTGCCTTAGCTTCTTCAGCTGGAAAGTGGGGAATAATGAGAAAGCCTGTAGGACTGGGTTTCTATGAGACTTTAGTGAGACTTTAGTGAGTTAATAGGTACCAAGTGTTTAGATCATATTAATACTCAGTACATTTTAGCTATTAGTATAGCCACATGGCATTAAAAAGAATTTTGTTCACATTCTTTATTTAACTTCAGGGAGGTTAAGCGTTCTACTCAAGAACCAGGCTAACAAGAGTCAGAGCTGACATTCCAGCTCCCATCTCTAAGCTCTCTGCCCATGTGCCTCACACTGTGAAACAGAATAGTTTAACTTGGCACAGACTCAGTTACTAAGGAATCAGACTACTGTGTTTGAAAATCCTGTTAGTGACCAGCCTGAGCCCATGCTCTGTGGTTACGCTCCAAAACAAAAGCGCAGGATTGTTCTGCAAAACGAACAAGTCGCTTGACCAAAGTCAACAATACCTGTTCAGACACGACAAAGATCTGTTTGCCTTAGGAGGTTCATTACCTATGATGAAATCGTGGGTTTGAAAAGCTGAGAAACAATCCATCATTCCTGCTATATTTACCCCTAACAAACATGTATCCCTCAAAACAATGGGAGAGGCAAAGTCATGGAAGTAAACGTAATTTAGTTTGGGGAAAGAGCCCTAGAGGAGGGGTCAGGAGAATCAAGTCCTGTTTCCTGCCATCCAAGAAGGATGCCTCCATGTGTGTGAGTGTTTGTATGTATCTCCAGTACGTGCCCATAAGTGTGTCTGAGAGTGTGTGCGTGCACATGGGTGCACATGGAAAAATTCAGGACGAAATGCACTAAACTCTAATTGAGTTTTCTAAAAACTGGAATATATGATAAGAGACAAAGGACTGCAAGTTGTACCAAACAGAAACTTAATCAAAAGACTCCATAATTTTCAGATAAATAACAACTGAAAGAATTTGTTGCAAACAGAGCTGCACAGCAAGAAATGCTCAAGGAAGTTTTTCCACCTGAAGTGAAATGGCACGAGATGTTAATTCAGATAAAGGAATAAAACAGACTGCAAATGGTGAATAGGATGGTAAATATAAATGAATGCATACATTTTCCTTTTTCTTCCATTCTCTTAATTTTTTTAAAAAAGACCTATGATTGTTTAAAGCAAAAATTGTATCACCATATTGGGGGATTTAACATATGTAGATGCAAGATTCATGGTAAGAATAGCACAGAGGATGGGTGGGGGGGTGTGGAAATATGCTGTTGCAAATTTCCTGTAATTTTCACAAAGTGTACAACATTAACTGGAAGTAGATTTCTGTAAACTAAGGATGCAGGCGATAATCCCTAAGAGAAACATCTGGGGGGAAACAATGCAAAAATGTATGTATGCTAAAAAAACCAACAGAGGAATTAAAAAAGAAGACAAGAAGGAATTTGCTAACCCAAAAGAAGGCAGGAAAAAAAGAGGAACAGAGAAATTTTTTAAAAAGCATATGAGATGAGTAGACAACAAATAATAAAATAGTAGCTATAAATCCAGCTATGTCCTTAATTACATTGTATATAAATGGACTAAACACTCCCATTAGAAGGCAGAGTTAACAGCATGTTTGAAAAAGGTAAGACCCAACTATATGCTACCTCCAAAAAATATACTTTAAAAAGAAAAAAGAAATAGAAGAATGGAAAAAGTATCTCATGTAAACACTAAGCATAAGAAACCTGGGAAGGTTATATTAATAACAGACAAAATAGACTTTAAGACAGAGTTTTACTGAAGGTAAGAAGGGGAGGAGAGACATTTTATAGTTATAAAAGGGCCAGTATATCTGGAAGATATAAGTATGAATATGCATCTGCTTAATAACAAAGTTTCAAAATGAAGCAACAAATAACATATGCATCATGTCCAAGAGTGGTTTCTCCCAAGAATGTATGATTGTTTTAACATCTGAAAATAAGTCACTCTAATCCACCACATTAACAAAAAAAAAGGGAGAAAACCATATGTTCATCTCAATATATAGCACCAAAAAGCATCTGAAAGATTCCAACCACTCATGATGAAAACTCCCATCAGACGAGGCACCGACAGGCACGTCCTCAGCCTGATAAGAGAGGTCTGTAAAACGCTGAGTAACATCACACCTCAAGGTGAAACATGAACTCTTTCCCTTCATAGGAGGAAAAGACAGGGATGTCCACCCTTATCGTTTCTATTCAACACTGCACTGGAGGTCCCGCGAACAAAGTAAGATGCAGGGAAAAAAGATCTAGAGAATGAAGCGGAAGAGGTAAAATTGCCCCTGTTCATAGATGACATACTGTATTTCCATTTAGAAGTAGATTCCTATGATAGTTATATACGGTGAGTCTATTTACTGTAGGGGTAAAAACAAACAAACAAACAAACATGAAATGCCTAAGAACTTCACACTAAAAACTGCTATAGTGCCAAGAGAAACTAAAGAGGACCTAAAGAAATGGAGAGTTATAATAGTTAGGAACCGGAAGACTCAATATTGGCACAATAACAGTTCTCCCCAAGGCGATCTGTATAGTCAGTGAAATCTGAGCCATAATCCCAGCAGAAATCAAAAGGTGACTCTAAAATTTATATGGAAATGTGAAGGACCCAAAATAGCCAAAACAATCTTGAAGAAGAATGAAGTTAGAAGACTTACACTGACTGATCTCAAGGCTTAGTAATAAACTGTAGTAATCAAGACCATGTGGGTTTAGTATAAGGACTCACCTGTTTTTTAATCTTTTCAAAGAACCAACTTGACCACCCCATTGCTAATAACCCTGGTGGAACTTTTAAAGGTCCTTAATGGAGCCTATTTTATGCTAATGTTACTTGTGCATTTATATCATTATTCTGTTAGACTGTGAGCTTCTCCTTGAATCCAAAATTTTATCAAACTTTGTAAGTCCTCAATGCCTGTACTATTTTATATCTGTACTTTGTTTTAAATAATATTTGTCAAAACAACAACTATTAGTCATCTTAAACCCTCACGGGCAATGATAAAACATAAAGCCACAAAGCTTTCTTTTCCAAATAACCTACCCAAGACGGAGGGCTGGCTGGTTTTCGGTGACACCCATTTTGGGGAGGACTCAGGGTGGGGGGCCACAGGTTGCACAGGACGAGTCTGTCTGGCTGCCAGTTTCATCAGACTCATTTGCCTCTTGTGAAATATTTCCTGTACATCACCCAGCTTCTGCAGGACTCTCTGGGCTCTGGCCTGCAGGAACAAAAGCAAGTCATTAGGTCGCTGTGCACTGAGCCTAAGGACGTGACATGTTCCCTTTTTCGCATCTTCCCCTCTCCTCGAATGCCCAGCCTCCCCTAGGGGGCCATATGCAAGCTGCAAGCTGCCCCACATCTGGCCTTGCACCAGAATTGTGCTTCCAGGAACCTGCACCTCCCACTTGACTGACAGTGATTACATCTCACTGCTGCATCTCCCAGGACTGCAGCTGCCTAGCACAGAGCAGTGCTTGGGAAACATGTGGTGAGCGGATAAATGTTCACTAAGCCATGTCCATCAATGGTAGAAAAAGATGCCATAGGCCATGGATAAAGGGCATTAAGCCAACTTACAAACTAGGACAGTTTAAAAATAAGGAATGTGCTCTGAATAAAGGCCCTGATGGAGAAAAGAGTTCAAGTGTTCTAGGGGAAAGAGTTGACTAAATTCTGAAACAGAATCAAGGAAACCACAAGCACCAGTAATTAAAAAAAAATGTAGCTATTTAAATACTATTCGGAGTGATTCCTCTGCATATAAGTAGGAGGTAAGCTGAAGAAAGAGCAGAGGAGAGGTGAAACTCACAGACAGTGTCATAACTGACTGTATGCTCTGGGGCAGAGGTTCAAGAGAGTAAGAAACAAGGCCTGAAAGTCTTTGAGTTTCACCAAGGCCTCCCTTCCAGCATAACACCCCTCTAGCTCTGGCAGGCCAAGGAAAGTGAAGAGCCTTTACCCTGCTGACACTGACATCTGTCTTGCAGATTTTTTTTAATCCTCACCCAAGGACATTTTCATTGCTTTTAGAAAGAGGAAGGGAGAAAAAGAAATATCAGTGAAAGAGAGAAGCATTGACTGGTTGTGCCCTGACCAGGAATTGAACCTGCAACCTTTAGGTTACAGGATGATGCTCCAACCAGCCGAACCACACTGGATGATTTTAACCACCAAAGAAAGGACCCAGAATTGGAAGAGCTGAACTACCATGAGCCATGCAAGGTGCTTTGAGGATGCCTAATGCTGAAAGTACAAGCTCAGCACATACCCAGGAGCAGAGGGGTTGCCACATTTTGCAACTAGAAAAGTAAATGTGTCTTTTTTATGCTGGGCCACCTTCAGGGAAGGGGACGATATCTCTGAGGCCAGACTGGAGTGTCAGTTACAGAAAAACGCTTCCCCTCCAGCCTGAGGGCCTGGTCAAGGCTGACTGACCTCTGCACTGAGGCCTGGTCTCACCCTGCGGGGGGTCCAAGTGCAGAACTGCATGGTTGGGTCCATGGAGAAACCACGAGGCACAGGAGGCTCTCCAGCACCTGAAATGCAGCTGGCCTGAGCTGAGCTGTGCTGGCAGCACTGGATACACACTGGGTTTTGAAGACAGCGTGTAAAGTGTAAAAAGAACATAAAGTACTTCAATAGTATTTGATATCCATTGCAGGTTGACATGATATTTTGGACATAGGTTAAATAAAACATTAAAATTGGCTTCACTTGTTTCTTTTCACTTTTTAAAATGTGGCCACTAGAAAAGGTCATCAGCCCACATATGTGACTTGTACCATATTTCTATTGGACAGCACTGCCCTGGACCTGGGGTTGGTAAGCATTTTCTGTCAAGGTCCCAACAGTGCAACTCTCAGGCTTTGCAGGGCACCTGGTCTCCGTGATAACTGCTGCCCTCTGCCCCTGCGCATCACAGCAGGCACAGCGAATAGATAATACAGAATAAATGAGCGTGACTGTGTTCTGATAAAACCCTAGGCACAAACGGGATGGCAAGCAGCCTTGGGCCACAGGCTACGCTTTGCTGACCCTAGTCTCAATTTAGCGCAGGGTCTGTGTTTAAATAGTCTCTTCAGAGAACGTGCCTCTAGCCTCAGGAAGCACGGATGCACAGTGCACTCGAGGTTCTGATAACACGGCTCTGAGCCCAAGTCCCGAAAGAAACCAAGTTCCCTCATAGCAGGGTGACGGCCATGGGGGCTTGACTGGTGACTGGCCACAACCACCCTGCCCTTCCGGCCCAGGGGTGGGTTTGAGGAAACTGAGTTAACTGCTGACAAAAGAAGAAATCTACCATGGAAGCTGACTGAAAAAGGTGAAGGGATTGAGCAAAACAGAAACAAAAACAAACCTCACAGAGAGACAACGGCATGGGGATAACCAGAAGGAAATGGGAGTGGGGAGTTGTAGGAAAGTACAGGGAGGCAGAAATGGTGATGGAAAGAGACATGCATTTGGGTAGTGACCACACACAGCAGTGTATAAATGATGCATTATAGAACTGTGCCCCTGAAACCTATATAATTTTATTGACCAATGTCTCTCCAACAAATTCAATTTAAAAAAACAAACAAAGGAAAAACATCTGAACGAGGTCAGTGCCATGTGCTAGGCAAAGCCCAGTGGCTCACCTCTCGGACGGGGCAGGACTCAAGGCATCTTTGCCCTTTTGTGTCTGTCCCCAGATCCCAGGGCGAGCCCTGCCAATGGCTCGCTGAGTTACACTGAGGTGCTCAGAAGACATCCTAGATTCCCACACTCAGACCAGGGGGAGGTGAGTGCAAGATTAACAACTGCCCTTCCCTTTTCCATATCATAATCAGAAGTAGCTTTCTCAAATGTAAATATGCTCATGTAATTCACCTGTTCGAAAGCCCTGCAGTGGCACCTCACTCCTTGTCCTGCAGCACCAGGCTCTTCACACTCAACCCTGACCGCTGCCTCCCCGTAGCCCCACGGTCCCTTCATTTCACATGCTCTCGGACCTAGGTGCACTTGCTGGGGAGATGTCTGCCACACTGCCTGCACCTCGGCTGCAGGGACTGCATTGTATTGCATTCTCAGATGAAGCACAGCCTGACTACCCAATACATATTTGCAGAGGTGAGTGTTGCTATTTGCTACTGAGGTGGTTTCATTCTCTACCCTGGGAGGTGAAAGTGAATGAGGCAGAAAAACCGAAAGAGAAGCTCTACGGGCAGTGCCTTGAACAGCCTCAGACAGAGATGGCGTGGCCGCTCCCGGAACAACAGCTTATGGCTGATGTCGCTTTGATGGCCATTATGTCTGAAATGTAACAGATTCAAACTTTTAGACATAAAGTACCAGTTTTGAAGGAAAAGAAACTTTATTTTTCAAATAGTTTTGGATTTATAGAAAAATTGCCAAGTAGTGCAGAGTTCCCATATTCTCCACACCCAGTTTCCATTATTAACAGGCTTATATGACTATGGACCATTTCTTACAATTAATGAATCAATCTTGACACATTATTATTAAAATTATGACTATTAAATAAAGTGCATACTTTTTCCAGGTTTCCTTAGTTTTTGCCTAATGTACCTCCCCCCAGGGTCCCGTCAGGACACCATGTTACATTTAGTCATTACGACTTTGGCTCCTCTTGGCCATGACCATTTCTCAGCCTTTCCTGGCTTTTGATGACCTTGACTATTTTGAGGTGTATTGGTCAGGTATTTTGTAGACAGTCCCGCAGCTAATATTTATCTGACGATTTTCTCATGAATAGACTGAAGTTATGGGGTCTGTTGGGGGGCGGCCACTGGAGGGGGCGGGAGGGGGCGTGGTGGGGAGAAGACCACGGAAGAAAAGTGCCATTTTCATCACATCATGTCAAGGGTATATACTATCTGCATGACCTAATACTGTTGACGTTGACCTTGACTGCCTGGCTGAGGCAGCACGTGTCAGTTTTCTCCACTGTAAAGTCATTCTTTCATTTCTCCTTTCCCACATCGTACCCTTTGGAAGGAAGTCACTGTGCAGCCCACACTTAAGGATGAGGAAGTTTTGCTCCACCTCCTTGAAGGTTAAGTATCTACACAAATAATTTGGAATTCTTTTGCATGTGAGACTAGGTCCCTTTCCACAATTGATTTATTTATTCCATCATTTATTTATCTCAGTATGGATTTGTAAAGATCTATTTTATGCATTGGGTTTTAATTCAATATTACGCTATTAACTTTGTCGCTCAAATTGTTCCAGTATTGGCCACAGGGCACTCTTTCAATTGCTTCGTATGACCCATCATGGGGGTTTGTTTTGGTTTTAGCAGTTCCTTACTTTTTGTCATTGTAATATGCTCTAGGATCATCTTGTATATTTCTTCCCCCAGTCCTAGAACCAGCCATTTCTCCCAGGAGCTTGGGTCTCTTATTAAAGAATGGTATTATTACAGAAACTAAGATCACAGTGCTAGGTGTGCTCATTGATGCTGGGGGAAGGGGGGCTCATTGCTTCTAGGTCCAAGTAAGGAGGTGTGTTTGTCTATACCAACCTGTGTATAAGCATACATCTTGGAATATTTCTATACGTATAAAGTACCAGTTTGGACAACAAAGTCCTTACCTCTCAGCAGATAAAACTTTCTCTGACACAACAGGATATTTAATCTTATAATCTAGAATTTTACTTCAAACCAAAAAAGAATAGTTGGGCTTTGGGGATATTTTGATCTGTTTTATACATAGGATATTTTTTTTCAGCATAATCTAAGATCTTTATTATAAACTTAGGAAGATTGTAAAAGAAGTATACAGCAAAAACTATAAACTTTCTTTTTTTTTCAATATATTTTATTGATTATGCTATCACAGTTGTCTCATTTTCCTCCTTCATTCCCCTCCACCCTGCACACCCTCTCCCACTCACATTCCCCCCTTTAGTTCATGTCCATGTGTCATAAGTTCTTTAGCTTCTCCATTTCCCATAATATTCTTACCCTCCCCCTGTCTATTTTCTACCTACCATCTATGCTACTTATTCTCTGTACCTTTTCCCCCTCTCCCCCCCCCCACTCCCCTGTTGCTGACCCTCCATGTGATCTCCATTTCTGTGGCTCTGTTCCTGTCCTAGTTGTTTGCTAAGTTTCTTTTTGTTTTTGTTTTAGGTGTAGTTGTTAATAATTGTGAGTTTGCTGTCATTTTACTATACATGTTTTTTATCTTCTTTTTCTTATCTTCTTTTTCTTAGATAAGTCCCTTTAACATTTCATAAAATAAGGGCTTGGTGATGATGAACTCCTTTAACTTGACCTTATCTGAGAAGCACTTTATCTGCCCTTCCATCCTAAATGAAAGCTTTGCTGGATAGAGCAATCTTGGATGTAGGCCCTTGCCTTTCATGACTTGGAATACTTCTTTCCAACCCTTTCTTGCCTGTAAGGTCTCTTTTGAGAAATCAGCTGACAGTCTGATGGGAACTCCTTTGTAGGTTACTGTCCCCTTATCTTTTGCTGCTTCTAGGATTCTCGCCTTCATTTTTATCTTGGCTAATGTAATTATGATGTGCCTTGGTGTGTTCCTCCTTGGGTCCAATTTCTTTGTGACTCTCTGAACTTCCTGGGTTTCCTGGAAGTCTATTTCCTTCGCAAGAATGGGGAAGTTCTCCCTTATTATTTGTTCAAATAACTTTTCCACTTGTTGCTCTTCCTCTTCTCCTCCTGATACCCCTATAATTTGGATGTTGGAACGTTTAAAGATGTCCTGGAGGTTCCTAAGCCTCTCCTCATTTTTTTGAATTCTTATTTCTTCATTCTTTTCTGATTGTATGTTGTTTTCTGGTCCACTCCATTGATGTGAGACTCAGCTTTCCTTCCATCACTATTGGTTCCCTGTGCATTTTTTTTCATCTCACTTATTGTAGCCTTCATTTTTCCATTTAATTTGTGACCAAAGTCAACCAATTCTGTCAGCATCCTGATCACCAGTGTTTTGAACTCTGCATTTGATAGGTTAGCTATCTCTCGGTCGATTAAAAGTATTGATTCTGGGGCTTTCATTTGTTCTTCTACTTGAGCCATCTTTTTTTTTTTTTTTTTGGTCTTGTCACATCTGTTACATATGAGGGGCAGAGCCTTAGGTGTTCACCAGGGCGGGGCAACCCAGTTGCTGGGTTGTGATGCTGTATGTGGGAACAGGGTCCAAGAGGGAACAATGGCACTTGCTCCGCTCTCTGTCAGACATCAGTCCCTTCCGCCACTTCCCCCAAGCAAACTGGGCCTTTCTGGTGCTGATTCCTGTGTAGGTGGGCTTGTGCACCCCATGGGTCTTTCCAACGACCTCTCCTGTGAGGCTGGGAGTCTCTCCCTGCACCTCAACCCCCATAGGTGTTTTCAATCAGTGCCCCCAGGCTCTATTTGCCAGCACTGGGACCCTGGGACCCCCGGTCAGCCAGCTGCCTTGCACGCAGTGCCTTGCTTCACAATCACCGCCTTGCTGGGTCTGCCGGTTGCCACCCCCTGGCCCGGGTCCACCAGCCTCTGCTGGCGCACCCAGGGTCCACCCACTGCCATCTTGCATGCCCGGGATGCCTTACACTGGTCCCAACACTCTTTGTTTCACGACCTCTCTCCATCTGGCTGCCCAACTCCACCCCCCACCCACCGGTCTGGATGAATGTGTCCATTTTAATTCCTTGGTTGTCCGACTTCCATACTGTTCAATTTTCTATTAGTTCTGGTTGTTATTCTGTTTCTAAATTGTTGTTGTCCCTATCTTGGTTGTGTGAGGAGGCACAGTGTGTCTACCTATGCCTCCATCTTGGCCAGGAGTCCCTTATACATAGGATTTTTAAAAAGCTTTTTTCCCCTCTAATTCTCTCCTTCCATGTTCCTACCTGTTTCCCACAAGTGGCTAATTGAGGTTTATTCATTTCCTGGTGGGCGGTCAGGAAGCTGGCTGAATTTGGCCGGTGCTGCAGCTGCAGCCACAGGTCTCCCTGGTTGACCTGACGCGCTTATTTGGAGCAGCCAATGGGGTTGGAGCGTGGTGAGACTGTTCTGTCTCAGGAGTCTGACCCAAGTCTACTGATGCTGGGTGTTCAGTGTAGCACTTACACCAGATGGGCCTTCTCTCTGTCCCTTCTGCAGGGAAGCTGAAGGGACCTTACGTTGAGGGAAGGTGGTCTGCCCACCCCACCCCCACCCCATCTCGAGGTCACATCTTTCCACCAAACTCACTGGAAGGAGTCAGGGAAAGATCACTAAGGTACAACTCCACAGCAAGCTCCTGCACTTCACCCAGTCTACGCTCACACCTGCCCACCCGCCCACTTATTCAGCAAACATGGGTTGGATATGAGGCACAGGCCGGGCACAGGGACACAGAGGTGGATGAGGTTCCTGCCCTTTGGGAGCTCCCAGTGTAATAAAGCAAGACAGATATTAAAAATAAATAATTGGAATACAGAGTGGTGTTATGTTAGAAAAAGGGCTTTTAGCCTGAATCCATGCATGGACTTTGGGGGTCTCCTAAATTAATTATAAAAAGATATATACGCCAAATATTCCCTGTTTGTGCCCGGCTGTGTCTTCTCTACTCTGCTCTGTGTCCCAGGTGCTACCTGTACAGACTCTGGCAGATGGGTTCATTTGCCTGTGGGCTTTTAGTTGGCTTTGCCCAATGGGAAGCCCCACCAGGAAATGAGAGAAGAAGAGAGAAAAGTAGGGGTATGTGTTTCTCCACCACTGGCTGCATTCCTCTGCCCAAGGCCACAGCTTGCACTAGCTGCCTCGCTTACAGTCACAGCTGTATCGCATCTGGGCCCCCTCTGTCTTTCTTTAAAGTCAGGGGCGGTAACTGCTCCCTGTTTCCTGTTAGCCCCTGGGGTGCTTCACTATCCCTGTTGGGTTCCCTAAATCCTGCCCACGTCTTTGTAAAAGTGCCTGCATCAAACTCCCTAAAAATAGGTGAATCGGGTTCTCAAAAGGGCCCATGACTCGAAAGGGGTGAAGAGGCCACTAGAGCAGAGGTACACACAAAGTGGTGTGGGTGTCAGAGGACCGTGTGCTATCCGTAACTCCACTGGCCTCACAGAAGAATGTTCCCCTCAAAGTGCGAATCCGACCAAGTTGTCCCCCTGCTTAACTTCCATAGTGGCTCCCCACCGCTCTGAGAGTGGAGGCCAAACTCCTGAGCACGGCCCACAAGGCCACACCTCGTCTGTCCCTCCCCAATCTTGTTGGCTCTCTGCACTCCAGGCACCCTGGCCCTCGGCTTCTGCACTTGTGCCAGGTCCCCTCCAGCCCTGCGGCCCCTGCACATGCTGTTCCTCTGACTGGAAAGGAGCCCCATCTTCTCTACTCATTCTCTAGGGCTTGGTTCAGATGACCCCCAGTCCAGGTCAAATTCCTCTGCCAGACTTGATAGGACCCTGAATCCCAACTCCAGAGCCCTTTGCTCAGAACACATTTTGTGATTTGTGTTTGACATTTATTAGTGTCATCCTCTCCCTCTAAACTGTAACTTCCATGAAGGATGTGACTATGTTTATTTCTGTTTACCGTTGTGTCCTCAGCACAGTGCACAGAGATGCTCGTAAGGATTTGTAGAGAAGCAATGACTGAAGGTGATATTTGAGTCAGACTGTGAAGAGTGGGTTTGCCAGGAAGCACTTTGCCAGGAGTCTAAGAGGCCGCCTGAGGGCTCAAGAGCTGGTTAACTTGCTCAGTATGCCCTACCTGGATTTTCTTAGGCAATAGGCAAAGGTCCCCAATGCCACCTTCCTGACCACAGGATGAAAATAACCAATCAACATTACCTCCACGTCAGGGGTGAGTATCAACTCAAACTGGTGGTAAAACTCCTTGGAGCTGGGCAACTGGTACTCCTTCGCCGTGCTCAGGAATGCCTGAATGTCATTCAAGGAAACGTCAACACCTTCTCGCGACTGGCACTTGTCTACAGCTTGGGACGCCAAGAGGTAGATTCCCGCTTCACACCACTGGCTGACCTTTTGAAAAGAAACAGAGTGTCCTGTGCAGTTAGCCTGACCATGACTCAGCCACCTCAGCCCTCAGGAGGTCCAGCTCCTTTGAGGTCTGCCAGGATTCTGGGACAATGGGAAACTGTCGCGGGCCAGCAGCAAGTGGAGAGGTCTCACCACTCTAAATACAGCTGTGAGGTGGACAAACCCAAACTGATTCCACATCTGTCCACTTTTCAGGGAAGTCACTCAATCAGTAAAATAAGTGCATAAACATTCTTCTCTTTCTCTGCCGACAGTAATTCCTACTCTTCCAGGAGGAGAAAGTTAAGTATTTCTAAGCGTGGTCTACCTATAGAGAACTGTAACCAATGACTTTTGGGGCCGACCGCCTAGGCCCCTCATCTTGCTTCCTCACGGGTTACAAGAGCACAGGGTGACTAGTGAGGCGGCAGACCTGGCCCCCACACGCTTTACCCGGGGAGAGACGGTCCTTTCAGCAAAAACACCACTTTCTTTTGCCCTTATTTGTTCTTATTGTCATTTGTCTTTCCCAGGGAAGCATCTGAGAATGAAAATTTCTGTCACTCAGAAGAGCAACACTCAAACTTTCCAGAATTCGAGAATGAAATCAGGTGACAAATTCTCATAATTCAATGTTTAAAAGATGAAAACAGAAAGACAAGGGCCCTTCTGATGCCTGAATATTGATACGAAAAGAAGCTTCTACGGCAAGTGCACCTGCATTTCCATTCCACACGACCCAGAGAGCTATGTAAAGTAACTGTGCAGGGGAAACACTGCAAAGCAGTTAGTTATTGCTAAGTGGGAAATTACAGGCAACTTAAATCTTTTATTTTTTCCCTAAATTATCTACATTGAATGTGCACTACTCTCAGAATAACAAAAAACAATAAAGATATCTAAAAATCAATGATTACCATTGCATGGGGATGAGAAGGAGTGGGATGCGTAGGTGCACATGAGTAACTTTCTTCCTCCTCATTCCTACACTTTTGGATTTTCAAAGTAACATGAAATCATGCTTTAATATACACCATGAAAACTTTGTCTTGAAACCTCATGCCTAGATCTGCAGAAAACGGTGCGCTAGGGTCTTCTGCAGACTCACAGCGGCTACTTGCTCTCCTAGACACAGTCTCTCTCTCACACCACACGGCCCTCAGCATTAGGCTCTTATCTCTGGGGCAGATATGGAGTGAGGACACCAGTAGCTGATCCTGCCAAGAGCTTAGCACACAGAGCAGGCTGCACACCAGGTTCTTTTGAGCCACTTGCTTCTGGAACAGCTGTATTTCGTTGACATTAACATCCCTTTGGCAGTGGGATGATGTACAGTCTGAGCACCCACCCAGACTTACAACATCCCATTTCCATCAGAGAGAAAGAGATGTGGGAATGGACCACATTGACTCATGGCCCTGAGCCACGTGCCGCCTGGGAACAGCTGACAGGGAAGGCTACAGAAGTCACTGACCCTGCTGACCGAGCACTTGTCCAAGAGATCACTGCCAAAAGCACCAGAAGCTGCACTGCCTCCCTCTGACCCTTTGGCACACACACCACTGCTGTCTAGACTAAGGAGCCTGGGGTTTGGAACTTGGCAGTCCCGACCTCAAACCTGCAATCCCCTACTCACCCCATGTGCAGCCTTGGGCAATCACTTATCCCAGCGTTTCTCAGTGCGTCCCTGTACTGCCTGCACCAGACTCACCCAAGCACTTGCTGAATACACTGATTCCTCAGCATCCTCCTAGACCTACTGAATCTCAGTCTCCAGAGTAGTGCACCAGGGAATCTGCAACACAGCAAGCTCACCAATGAGTGCTTTCATCCACTAAACTCTACGACCCAGTGACTTAACCCTGTTGAGTATCAGTCTCTGCCTCTTAAATGAGGCCATTGATACCTTCCTCATAACTTGTCTTGAGGATTAAAAAAGATGACATAATTATACTCCTAGTAGGTATAGTCGGTGCTCAGTAAACGGCAAGAGTATATAGTGTTCATTATAACTTGAGCTTCTCCAAAAGGATTTACTTTCCAATGGCTTTAGATGAGGAGGAGCACTTTGCAAATACAGTGCTTGGCCTCTTACATGCCTGCAGGGCAATCAATAAATGTCCCCCGGGGCCAGGCCAAATCTCGCCCTTTAAGTCTGGGTCCACACAGAGGGAGACGGACTTAATTCGTTCTAACAGGACGTGGTGGGGTGGCGGAGGCACTCTAGACCTTCAGTACCTCTACGACCTAGAATCTGCAGCTTTTAATGCCTGTTTCACGTGAAGTTCTTTACCCCCTCGGCCACCTCGTGGGGCAAGGAGGTCGAGTGTGATCAAGGCGGCTTTATAGAAAACATTGCTGCCATCATGGTCTCAGCTTGGTTTCGCTCACCTTGTCCAGCTGTCTGTGCAACTCCAAAGACTTTCCTAAAAGGTCGTATTTTTTCTTGTTCTCATTGACGCAGTCGGCACAGAGGCGCCTGAGCTCCGCACACTTGGGCCTGATGGAGTCAGCTGCGTAGTGGTGGCTTTGGATGTGCTGGTCCCCGATGATGGCAAGCAGCTGGGCTTTTTCCAAGGGCTCCTGCAAAGTGAACATGCACAGCCAAGCATCACAACCCAGGTCTCGGCAAAGCTGCTATTCGCCTGACACTGTGTGCTCCAACCCTAGGGGGAGGCTAGGGAGATGCTGAGTCAGGCTTTAGGCTGAGAGTCTGGGGTTGGGGAACCTGGGCAAGCTCTTCCTTTCCCAAGGAGTCTGTCCTCACCCAGGGTCATCTCCCTGGAGAAGAGCAAGTCATTCATTCAAGTACTTGTTGAGTTCTGGGGTAGGCGCTGAGGATATAGTGTTAACAAGCCAGAAATTTTCAACCTAATGGAGAACTCACATATTAAGTAAATTATACAAAGAATTAAATTATTACAATGTGGTAAGTTCTAGGACAGGAGTGTGATACTGCACAGAACAGGACATTCTGAATTCCACTGTCAACTAAATGGAGAAGCAAAAAGGAAATTCATGTGGCCCTGAGGAAAGTGGGGAATGAGCTGAAGTTAAGAAGAGATCAAGACCTGGTTTGGACAACTCTATAGGGGAGTCATGAGGCTTAAGAAATATGTTTCTTAACATAGTCCTCCTAGCAGATCTTCAAACCCAGGCGTGGTCCTGGGAACCCCGACAGGAGCATAGACCTGAAGTCAAGGACAAGCCAGGCAGCCAGTACTTGGCTGCGAGGTTCAGGTCGAGGGAGGAGGCTGCTGTGGCTGGGACAGAGGAGGAAGCAGGAAAGGAGTAGGAGACTCGATCAGAGAAGAGAGAGGGAGATCGGACTGGCGAGAGCTGGGCTGCCACTGTGGGAGCACTTTGGCTTTCACTCATTGTGACTTGGGAAGCACTGGAGGTTTGGAGGAGAAGGTCTCACTCATGAAAGGACTGCTGCAGCTGTGCTGTTGAGAATGACAGAGAAGAGGCAAAGCAGGGAGGTCAGTTAGGGGGCTACTGCAGCCCTCCAGGTAAAAGATGTGGCTAAACAAGGCCGGCACCCCCCAGGGTGCTCCTCCCAGTCAGTCAGGCCTGGCTCTCAGCTCTCCTCCCTTCTCTGACTTCTGCACCTCCTCCTGGCAACCCGCCCAGGCACTCTCCCCCACTTTGTTTTCATTTTCTAACTCTTTCCTCTATCTGAAAATGTCTTTGTTTTACTTCAGTGGACAATTTCTCCCTCCTTCACCCACTTCCACCAGTATATAAGCTCCATGAGAGCATTTAGTAGGCATCCCATAAATATTTGATCAATAGAGTGAAGGAATGAATGAATGAGCACTAGTGAATGAATGAATGCAGTAGATGATGCAGCCACCTGCTTGGCTGGAACCGTGTGAAACAATATTGACCTGTGAGTCAACACAGGTGACTGCCACATTCTCCAGGAGCACAGAGGTCATGTGCCTCCTTGCTGACCACGGTGAGTGTCCAGTACACCACACTGCCCTAGTTTAACTTTTTACAGTGATATAACAGGGAATGGATTAAGGACCCCAAGAGCCCTACTAACACAGCTGGGGGGAGGGGAAGCTGAGCAGGCTCATTGAGAGTTACTTTGCATATCTAAAGATCTTGGCCAGTGTTTCAGTAATGCTAATAGCTGTGCCTGCTGGCTCACAGCCAGGGAGAGGGGCCTAACTCTGACCAGTGATGCAGTCTGCAATCATCCCAGGCTACAGCGTTTGCATAATGGTCTGCTCCATGTCACATGGTCATGCCTGCCCAGACTAACAATGGCAGCCGAGAAAGGCAGAAGGTACATGAGGGCTGGCAGAGGTAGCCAATTGTGGAAGGAGTCGGAAGTGGGCTTACAGAGAAGCAGCAGGGTGAGGATTTAAACTCAAGCACAGTGCAGCCATGCTCTCGTAGTTGTACAGGGGTCTCTGCCACGCAGCTTAGAAAGGAGCAGAAAAGCAAGATGTAGCAGCCATGTGGTTTGGAATTAAGAGCGGGAGCCTAGCTCAGCATGGATAACCTGGAGAAGCTGGATGTTAAAATGGGGATCTGCCTAGCTTAGCTACAGACCTCTACCTTTTCCTGAGAGACGGCACTTCTGACTGCCCTGGTTTGGCAAGGGGAGGCAGGACTGTGCGTGTTTCACTTTAAGGGACTCTGGGACTTAAAAACAGAATTCTGCCATTATCCTGAACCTGTATAACTTTTGAATAGTTCCTTTCCTTTTCGTAAGACTGTGGCATGAGGAGTCACGTTTTTGGTGGTGGGCAGTGGGACCCAGTGGTTCCGTTACAGTAGCACAAGGCTTACAGTAACACGCCATGACTCCAGATGATGACAACTGACCAGCCCCCTCTCAACTTGTTACAGGGTGCAGCCAAGAGGGGGGACCCCAAATAGGCATTTGAAATGGGGTCCAGAACTCAAGGTGTCCAGGAGATTTTAAGGTGTCTTCACCCCTTCCCCCACAGGTGTGAGTTGGGGGAAGGGGCACACAGGACAAGAACATGCAGGGCAGCTTTGCAGCTAATCCATGGCATGGTCATTTAGCATACCTATAGCCTTTGGCTGGTCACTTAGATATGCTAAATAGCTATGGCCATGCTCAAGGCCAGGGGGATGGAAAGGGATCTCCCCCCAAGATGTGACTGGGGGGCAGGTCCCCTGAGTTACAGCGCCTGCGTGGGAGCTGGGAGAAGATTGGCTCCATGACATGGGGTGACACCTGCCCAGACCCACGATGGCGACCAGAAAAGCTGGAGAAGACAGCAGATTGAGGGCAAGTGTGCCCAAGTGGAGGAGGTGTCGGAAATGGGGCTACAGAAGAAGATTGGCGTGGGGATTTAAACCCAGACACGGCAGCCATTGAGGGGGAACCACGCGGCTTTGGACAGAGTGGGTACTCTCCCCTTCCCGCAGCCCTGAGGAGGGAGAACCACGTGGCTTTGGCAGAGTGGAGACTCCCGCATCCCAGAGGAGGAGAACCACGTGGCCTTGACAGAGTGGAGACTCCCGTGGCCCTGGGAGAGAGAACCACATGCCTGTGCCAGAGTGGGGACCCCCACAGCTTTAGAAGGGGGAACCACCACCTGGTTTTAGCAGAGATCCCGGTGACTCAGCGGAGGGTGCCGGGAACCCAGGGAGGTCTCCCAGTCGAGATGGAGGACTAACTAAGAACCAGAGGACTGCCTGAGCCATGGACTTCTATTTCCTTTCCTGAGATACGGTACTCTGGGCTGGGCAAAGGGGGAAGGAAGGAAAGACTGTGTGTTTGTGGGTGTTTTTAGGGACTTTAGCATTTTTGATAAAGACATTAGGTCACTACTTTAAGTTAGTATAGCATTAAATAAACATTTCCTTTCCTTTTCACGAATCTCTGGCATTGAGAGACATCTTTCCTAGGGCGGCGGACATAACGGACCCGGGGCCTTCTTTCAATAATAGTATATCGTCGCAGGCCCCCCCTCTTGTTGTGTTCTGTAACAAACTTACACGCATTCGTGCTTTCAGCAATCTCCAAACCACTCTCCCCAACTGACACTCGCCAAACCCTGCAAAAGCCCACATCCTTCTTAACCCCTTTTGAATTCTGAGCACTTCTTCACCACCTCCTTGTCACGGGCCTTCCTGCGTTCTGACCGGGACAGCTGGCCTCTTCGCTTTCCTTCAGGCTGTCTTTCAAATCATGCTCCACACTGCTAGTAATTCCAACCCAACGTTTATCGTGTCTACATCACTCCCAGCTTCAAGTCTTTTCTTGCTCCCTATACTCTTCTGGAGAAAGTTCACACTCCTGAGCAATGCATAGAAAGCCTTTTACCATCACCTGTGCCTCGTCTTCCTCCAATCCCCTCACTCCCATACTCTGCTGTAACCAGACTAATGATCCATTTGAAATTCCCCAACTATTCAGACCTCCGTGACTTCTCTACCTGCTCTCCCTGCCTAGAGAGCCCCATCCTTCCCTCATCAGCCCTACACCCGACCGCTCCACCTTCCACCTCCTGCTGCACCCACACTCCTCTGGAGCTAAATCCAAATCACTCTTCAGGGTTCACCTTCTCCAGGAAACTGTCTCCAGCGCTCCCATTTTATTCTGATGCCCCTCCCCTGCGCTCCCATAACACTCCGTGCCTTTCTTGATCAGAGCAGACGCTTCACTGCTGTGATCTCTTATCGATTGCCCTCTCTATGCCACGGACCCTTGCAGACATACACTCGCTGTTGCTCAACTTAAAATAGTACACAGCACACATTAGGTACTTAAGAGCAAATGAATGTTGTGTAAAACAAAAGGAAGAAATTATTTACAAATCAAGCAGTGGCTATTTAAAATAACTCAGGGCTAGATACCCAGTGCACTTGTGAACAGCAAAGGCCTGATGCACTGTTCACCATTCCTGAAAGGAGGTTGGAATGTTATTTCCTCGGGCCATGATTTTGGATTGTGTTGCTCGCTGCTGTGTCCTCAGAACTTAGAACAGTGCTCGGCACGGCAGGACATCAATAAATATTTGCAGAATGCATGAAGTATGAATGAGACACTCCTACTAGCACTGCTCAGCCACTGCACGTGGGACCTAGGAGACATGCTGCGGCACGGAGACTTGCCCCCCCGGCCCCGTGACATTAGCGACGACAGCGAACACTCAGTGAGACCTGACTGCCCGCTGGACACTGTTCTGAACGCTTACGTCGACTGTTCTCTCTGCGCTTCACAGCAAGCCCGTTAGGTGCTGTTTCACAGAGGAGGAGCGGAGGCACACCGCCCAAGGTGGCCCAGGTGGGGAAGAGGAGAGCTGTCCAACCTGGGCAGCCCCACTCCACACCTGGCTCTGGTCATCACACACCGAAAAATGGCCGCGCTTATTCTGCCTGAGCTGAGAGATCGCTGAGGTTGAGCAAACCTGTCCGACGTTAATTAATGGAGGAGCATGAAAACTTGGCCAGGATGTACCTATTGACTTTCTTTATTAAGTCCAGATGTCTAATTTATTAAGAACAGCACCAGTTTTCTGGGAATAGGGAACTTCATCACAAGCTGTTTCACAACAGCCCCGTGGTGGCCACAGCTTGCGCGTCACTTGGCATGTGGCGTCTCACCCCTCACAACTGTTCTTAAAACATTTGAGGTTTTTAGAGGAAAGGTGGGAGTAATAGGTCCAAATGGATCTTGGGGAAAGATCATACATATAAATTAGGAGCCATCACTGGATGGCTGGAAGATCACTCAACTCATTTTGTCTTCACAGGGACTCTGTGAGGTAGGAATTATTATTATCCACTGTTTGGCTGAGGAAATATGTTCAGAAAGGCTAAGAAACTTGACCGAGGCCCTAGGGCCACACGGTCATTAGAGCTGAGTTGTTCACATCTGGTTCCGCCAGACTCCAGAGCCTGTGTTCTCACCTTCCAGCCCAGCTGGCCCCCCACACGGGCTATGATGACTGAGGCACAACCACAACTCCCAAATCTTTCAAAGACCTTTACTGTGAAACCTCCACACCACAGCTTATTTTTATGTCTGTACAGCTCCTGCTCATGATAAATAGGCAGTAAAACCTAAGTGAAAAAGGAATAGTGAGAGAGAAATGCTGAAACCTGCTGCTCTGATCACAGGCCTTTCAGCTGCAGAAAATTCCAGGAGGCTGGATAGTCAGATCGCAATGTGCAGTTCAAAAATATTTATTATAATAACAGCTGTTTTCTCCCCAAGACCCTACTGCTATGGGGGATGAACGATGCGAGTATTTACCATGGAAGAGAATCATGAGAGACAGTGACGCTGCTGTACGGGGAGCCCAGAGGCACCCACAGAGGATGGTGTAGGGTGGAACGTGTGCACAGGGAAGGGGGCCAGGGGACACAAGGACGGCAGCGAGTGATGGGCTATTGAACCTGAGCAATAGATACATGGGAGTTCATTGTTCTCATCCACGTACTTTTATAGGTGTTTGAAAATGTACATACACACACACAAAAAGTCATGTCCCCTCTAGTCAGATTATGTCCCTGGGAGGGAAATACTCTGGGTTCCCTGCCGTCCTGGACACAGTAATGTAACTGCTGGCCCCTGGCCCTTGCGGGGAGAGGCCAAGGCTGAAATCGGGCTGGTTGGTTGTCCCTGCCCTGTGCTGGTCTGCTCCTTGCTTGTTCATTGCTGAAGGCCCCAGGATACTTCCTGACCAAAAACTCTATAGCACATTCTGCTTTTGTAAGTCAGAGAGTGGCCAAAACGACTGTTTCTCAATAAAAAAAAATGAGCACTCAAAGAACTGCTAAACCCTCAAACTAAAACAAGGTTAAAAAAAAAAAAAACAGACTTAAGTAGCATGCACCAGGAATGCGGCAGGGAGTTGGTTCAGAGCTTGCCCAGGCGGTGATATCACTGCACAGAATATGTTGGCAACAAAACAGAAATGAGAGTGTGGCCATGCCAAAAGGGAAGTTGACTCCTGAGTACAGAATGAAGGACAAACCCAAGCAAGTTTTAGCAGATTCTAGCCAGGTATCACCTTGTTCCTTTAACACTTTTACAGACAAATGGGAAGATTAGCCAAGCCCTTATCATCTGAAGAAGCAATGCCTCTGAGGGAAGGCATGTTACAAAGGGTACCGGTTTTGATAAGGTAGCTTTGTTCAGTTCACCCAAAGGCAGAGGAATGGGTCAGCTGCATCCTTCAGAAAATAAGTAAAAAACAGGTAAGCAAGGCACAAGACGGGTAAACCAACTGGCCTGGGCTCATCGGCAGCGCTTTAGTCCGACGGCTTCAGGAACTTTGTCCGTGAAGGCTGTGCCACGGGTTCACGGAGTTTTCCTCTGTCCCGTGACTGCGGGCTGTGCCCCCAGCTCCAGTCAGTGATCTTTAAAGGATGTACTGAGTCCAAAGTGTGCATCAAAAGTCCAAGGAGGTGGGCAGACGAGGGAATGTGGATGCAGTCACGCAGATCTAACCCTGCTATTTAAAGCACAATCCAGAGCGCCCTCCAACTGGATTTTATTCCTGCTCCACTGAGAGTAAAATCCAGTCCTCACACTGTTGCTCCCGCTTGTTCCTACCTAACTCACTGTGTTCCAGTTGCCCGCCTTGAACTCACTAACCTCACTCCCGCCTCAGGACCTGGCACTTGGGCTTCTCGGTCTTAAATGCTATTCTCCAAATCTCTGCACAGCTATCCGGGTCTCAGATCAAAGGTCACCTCCTTCAGGAGGCCTTTCTGACTACCCTCACTGGAGGAGCAGCCCAGTCACTTTCTATTGTACCCCATTATCTTCTTCATGCCACTTGTCATTATCTGACATTATTATTTGTCTGGTTACTTTTTATGTATTTATCTCTGTCCAGTAGAATGCAAGCTCCATGAAAGCAGGGTCTTGACTGTCTGGCTCGCCATCATAAATCACTGAATCACAGGCAAGGAAGACAGAATCACAGGCAAGGAATGGGTGAACGCTTTCCTGGTGGGTCAGCAGCTACCCTCACGGGAGCTATGACCATGTTTTTCTTTTTTTTTTTAATTTTATTTTAATCATTGTTCAAATACAGTTTTCTCCCTTTTACTCCCATTCCAGCCCACCCACCCATCCCTCCCTACTTCCCTCCCATTACCACCCACCCCTAGTTTTTGTCCATGTGTCCTTTAAATTTGTTCCTGTAAACCCTACCCATTCCCCCCTGAAATTCCTCTTCTCTCCCCTCTGGTCACTGTCAGTCTGTCCCCCATTTCAGTGTCTTTGGTTATATTTTGCTTGTTTCTTTGTTTTGTTGTTTAGGTTCCTGTCAAAGGTGATATCATGTGGTATTTGTATGACCATGTTTTTCAAACCAAAAGTAAAAGCACTGGGCTCGATTAGACATTTTTCTAATATATAAATGTATATAAGTGAAAGTACATAGTATCTACATTTAATAAGGAGTTCTTTTGAAAAAAACTAAAATTACATAAAATTGGAACTATCTTGGAGGATCTAAGATGTACTTGATATGTGGAGTTGTGTTTTTTCACATTTGGTAAATGTTTCTCATGTCTCGTGCCTTCAGCACTGACGTGTTTCGCTGTTGGTGATCACTGACAGCAGGAGGATTGCTCACTGGGGAAGGATGGGATTCCCCAGTGAAAGTCGGGCACAGGTGGCCAGGTGGTCACACACGTGCAGAAGACCTGCTGCTCAGAATCCACAACTGAGAGCCCTTAGAACCAGCGTGGCCTCAGTTTACATTTGTTAGTATTCTCTAGGGGAGTAGGTCTCTAACTACAATGTGCATGTCAACCACCCGGGGATCTCATTAAAATGTAGATTCTGATTCTGAGAGGGGGCAGAAATTCCTAATTATAACAAGTTCTCACTCATGTGACCTCTGTGCTGCTGGCCAGAGGATCACACTTTGAAAAGGAAATATCTAGTACTTCAAAATACCGCCTGGGCAACATGCCTCTGGATTAGCTCAGAAACTGTTAACCATGTGATACGTGGTCCCCAACAGACAAAAAGATAGAGAAGCTAATTAAAGAAAAGCAGAAAGGAGCTTCTCTGGAAAGAGATGACTGGCTTTCCTAAGTCGTAATGAGATGAATTTATGAGGACTTAGAACAGACTCACTCCTAAGTGCTGACCTGTGTGCAGATCTGGAAAACTGTATAATTTTGTTAAGAGAATTGTGAAATATCTCTTCCTCTACAAGTCTGATATTTACAACTCTTGGAGCGTGAGAAGGGAGAAAGTGTTGCCAAATCTGGTAGGAACAGAACTAATGGGGACCCATTTCCCCCTTTTCACTGTCTTGATTGTTATAAAACTAGTTTCTTTTTTTTCTGGTTTCCCCTTCTAAAGTTTCCCCTCCTTACCACCAAAACCCAGCCCACGCCTCCACATCCGGGGCCCTGTGGGTAATGCATTCATTGTCACCTGCCTTCCTGCCGCTCCCCTGCTAGAAGGGGCAGGGCTACCCAGAGCCCTCACCCCTGAGCCTCCAACTTCAACAGGATGCTCTGGCAGCCTTAACAGAACCCTGAACTGCAGTGTTACTTACCATAGCTGCTCAGGGGTCCATCTCCTGCATGACCTGGGGTGAGGGCGAGGAGACTGACAGGGCAGGCTCTAGGATTCCCGAGTCCTTAGCAGCCTTCCCACAACGCGTGGGCATGATCTGCCACTGTCCACAGTGACTACCTTCCAAGTCCACAAGTAAAGGCAAAAAACAAACCTGGCCTTTTTCTCTCAGTTTTTTGTGCTCCTTAAGAAGTTGCTCCACGCGAATCACACTGTCTCCGATGTCTGTAAATTCTGCTTGCTCTGCCAGTAAGTTGTCCAGGGCAAGCTTAACCTACAAGACACATAGGACAGTCCAGAAATAAGCCTGTGAGCACCCATCTGGAGGCGGAGGTTGGCTGTTATCTAAGAAAACTCAAAAATCTGAAAAGGGAGATTCAGGGGATTCAGGACCAGTGTATATAGTGTCTATGCATTGCAGCTCATTAACTTTGAGATTAAATGGGGGTGGCGGGGTTGCTTAGACACCTGTAGATGGAATATTAAAGCTAGAGTCTACAGATTATCAATCAGAAAGGAAGATAAACTATCACTGAAATACCATGTATGCCAACAGGAAAATTGGACTGTGAAACATTACTACCCCATTGAAAAAGCGAGAAGAGGCTGTCTGAGAAGAAGCAAAGATTTAAGGAGGGAGCTGGGCTAGAGGGAAAAGAGAAACCCCAATACTCAGAGTTCAAGGCAGAAGAGAGAACTGCAGGTCACTGGACCATAAAAGGAAGTACTATTAAATAAGAAAATAGCACCTCACAAAAACTGTGCTCAAAGTGCTGTAGCTGTAGGCATTGATTAAGCTTCAGGTGATGCTCAGACCAAAACTGTGTAAAGGCTCTTTCTGTTTCATCCAGTTGAACCAGTAACCTGTCGAGAAAGAACAAGACAGCGACGTTGCGGTTAACGTTCATTTCCACAGCAGTCTGCACAGGCTCGTGCAGGTAACACCCGTGTTGTCAGTCACTGTTTTAATCGTGGTGATGTGCTTACTATGAAAGTCCGTGTCATTTATGACTTTCTCATAGTTCTGCTGGTTCCCATATTTCCCATTTTTCAATCAGGCCACTTAAAAAGATTTGACTTATTTTTAGAGAGGAGAAGGGAGGGAGAAAGAGAGGGCGAGAAACATCGATGTGAGAGAGAAGATAGGTTGTACATGCCTGTACCGTGGAAGAACCCACAACTCAGGCAGGTGTCCTGACCTAGAATCGACCAGCGGCCTTTCGCTTTGCAGGATGACACCCAACCCCCTGAGCCACACCAGTCAGGGCTCAATCGGGACACTTTCAGTGCTAGGCAGACACGTCACTGCAGCTGCGGCTTTGCGCTTTTAAACACGCCCCTGGTAAACTTGCCTTTGCACCTTTTCTTTCACAAAGCACAGCACCCAGACAAACTGTTATTTGGAAATGAAACTCAACTGATACTATGATCTCCCTCAAAATCCCTGGGATGACAGCTTTTCATAAGTGGAGAGAATGGCATTCTCATAAAAACATCTCCGTAGCTGGATGCCAGATGGGTACCTTCTTTTTCCCTTTGTTGTCTCAAATATTATTCTTTCTTACATGCTACCCTACCAAGGCCCAGTAGCAGCTGTTCTAATCTGTCCTTGGTTGTTTCGAATCACCTAGTTCTAACCTCTCCTAAAAAAGTATATTCCACCTTCACTCACCTTTCCATGGTAGCTACATTATCAAGTTCATTGGGATTGAGTTTGCTAGTGGGACTTTTGGTTGCTGGTTCTTGAATACATGCCAGCAATGTGGCTCCTTGCTCTCCAAGTAACTTCAGCTCATCCTAGAGAAAGAAAAATACAGTCTCTTTTATGAGAAATTAATGAAAGAAATTCTTGGTAGATTTGGGGTAAGGAGAATGGTAGATCAGTATATCTTTCACTTAGGAAATTAAATGCTAAAAAATTCAAGCTGCAGATTTATAAAATGAATTGACTTATTCTTAATGGGTAATAAGAGGTTATTATTACCCATGCTACAAAATGTAAAATGTGCAAAAGGATATATATTGAAAAAGTAAGTCTTTTGTCCACAGCCCATCCACTTTCTTCCTCCAAAAGCAACCGTTGAATTTTGTGTGTTATCTCAAGCTGTTGTAAATTAAGAGCAAAATTAGTTAATAAAAACTGATTCTGATCCAGGAGAGTGGCCGGAAATAAGAAAATGATAGATAGTGAATGTTCAATGCTGGGAACTGCCATGCAACAATAATGCAATAACTGCTAGTTGACATGAAAAATAAAACTTCCTCTGGTCTCATTAGTCAACATGTGCCTCTCCTCCCACTTGCTCCCTTGTTGTTTGGCAGTGGTGGGCAGAAGTTTCAGTTTGACATGGAAAGATTCACACTTCTGACCAACTCTATTCTGCTATTTCTACATGGAGACTTAGGGCTTTGCAACTGGGAGTGTGTCAGGCGACCTCTCTCCAAATCCAGAAGCTCTGTCCTCCACTCGCACACTGCAGGTGTTTCTCGATGCCCGGAGCAAGGCAAAAGGGGTGAGGCCTGGACTAGAATTTTGCTCCCGGGAGTGCTGGGTTTGGTTTCTGGGTTACACAGGATGCTGGTTTGGTATGCCCCGAGAATGAGAAAAGTCCCGAAGTCACAGAACAATCACACATAGGCACATGAACGCTGAAGCGCTCCCTCCAGGCCCAGCCATCTCCAGCCTTCACACAGCGGCCCGCTCATTCCCTGTGGGAGGAGTCTTACACTCTCTGCTCCGGCCCCGAAGAAGTCCAGCACTCTCGGCCTCGGGCTTTGCTCCTGTCTCCCACCCCTCTCCAGTATCCACCCGCCTGAAGACTTCCATCATCCACACCCAGCCTCATGACTGATTTGACTTCACTCATCTAGCCCCTCAAGATTTTTGGCTACCCCCGGGGACACTGTCCACTTCAAGTAATGCCCCAAGAGGGCCACTTGGCTGGTATTCCGGCCTGAGAACTGGACATATCCCTTCTTTTCCACTCCAGGCATCGGCCCTCATTTCTTCTTATCAATGTTCATTAAATATTTGTAGGTTGGATGAATTAATAATAGTCTAAAAGAAACCGGGTTATAGGTGGATTAACAAATAAGATATGCTTAGGGAGGGGCGGACACATTAGTAAACACTCTTAGCTTTTCCTCCTCTGCTGACCCACTAAAAAGGGTCCTGGCTTTTCTCACTCATTTTCTTAACTGCCTCTGAGCTTCCAGCATTCCAGCAGTATTCTAACATTAGCTACTGTTAGAAAAAAATACATATATAATGTGTGTGTGCATGATACAGAGTTGGGAGGAAAGGTGGAGGGGCCAAAGAAGAAGAGGCACATTGCTAGGGGAGCTTGGAAGAGAGATATACCCAAAGTGCTGTGGAGTGTGAGGCAGCATGTGTGTGTGTGTGTGTGTGTGTGTGTGTGTGTGTGTGTGAGAGAGAGAGAGAGAGAGAGAGGTGTGCATCATCGTAAGTGATGTCAGGTGCTACGGATCCCCTTCATGTGGTTAAAAAACAAGGTAAACTCATGACCCAGTTACAGCTTTGGGAATAGGCCCCAGCTTCAGTAGGGTTACCAAAGTCTGCCAGGAAGAGAGGGCAAGTTTGAGGAACTGCAGTACTTGAAAAGCATAAAGGCAAGTTGCTCAGCCCCAAAATGGATTGTGCCCTTGTCCACAATAGTGACAATTCAAAATACTTAATACCCACATAGAGCGGGCACTGACCAATCAGCACAGATGTCAGATCAAGGCTGAAACCATCCTGAGACCAACTGAGGCCCAGGGGTTAACACTTCAGTTGCCAGAATCGTGAGAAGGTCTTGCGGGTCCTAGGAAATGGGTCAGGGAGGTGGAGTGGGGCCCTCAAGGGATATAAACATTTCACTCTTTTAATAATGGATACGGCTGACCTAGTGTGTACTCATCAGTATGATTCCATCACGAGGGACAAGCACTTGGTTCAGAGCAAGACCCACTTAACACAGTGAGGGGGACATCTCCAGGCTCAAAAGAACGTACATTTTCTGGGGGAATTCTCTTCTATGACAAGGGTAAGCATGAATTGTGGCACTCATTTAAAATATACTTATAAAATCCATTATTACCTGTCAGGCACTGTGCTCAGCTGTGTCGGGGGCTGGGAGCAGAAGTGGGAAGGGAAGTAAAGGAATGAATCAGAGCCTAGAGAACATACGAGTGATTAATGCTTTACAATCCTTATTTCATTTTCATTACTTACCCCAGTTCTGCCACTAAAAGTTAGCTTACTGTTATGTTTTGTTTATACTGTCCCCTAATGAATTTCAGAGAAGGCTTTTGAAATGCAGTTCTTTATAATTTACAAAAAAACAAAGTCCCTGGAAGGCACGAGACATCTTCAGTAGCTCCCAGGAGAGATCTTCCCGTGGCACAGAGCTGGTTCAAAACACTGATTTGTAAAGGCATCGACGCTGAAAATATTCACAAGGATACCGATCTCCTGTGCGAAACTGAGACCTTCGTGCCTGCTCACTTCTCACTTAGGTTCTCCGTAAGGAGAGCTTGAACAAAGGGGTCTTTTTTTTTAAGTTGCTTCATTCTAATTTATTTAGAAGTTTCCATTTTTACTCCTCAATAGATTTTATGCTATTTCTCATGTGCTTTTCCCCTCAAGGGTTCCTCAGTGTTGTCTTGATCAGCCAGCCATCTTCATCAAAAGGTTTGTTGACAAGGCCTGGATTTTCTGCTAGAGTATTAATTCCAGTTCCTTCTCTGGATCGAGGAGAACAGAGTTCACTAGTAGCTTTCCCACTTTCCAAGCACCAAACTCATTTCGTTTGTACAATTTTGTCCCAATTTCAGGCAGACTATAGTAAACACCTCCCAAATCTCCCTATGCAAAATTGCTGATTCCCACTATTCCAATGCCATTTTCTGTTGTTATCCACTCATGTTTCTCTGTGAATTTATGCATGGAGAGCAGATTGGGGCCCGTGTGCAGCTCCCATGCTCAGGCCCCAGGGCTGTGGCAGGCAGGGTGTGTGGGTAGCCAGGTGGTGCCCTGGCTGCAGGCCTGGCCACAGGCTCTGCAACTCTCTGAGCACCACATTCACAGGGGTGCCTGGACAGAGGGGTCTTACCAACTCCTAAGACTACATAGTTATTTCGAGGGCCAATGTCATTCTGATTATCCTCTTGATTATTTGTTACCTTGGTAACATGAATGGAACTGTTATCGCTGAATACAGAATCAAATGAATACTGAATGGAACAAATACTGAATACCAAGTAGTACTCATATTTGTAAACATTTGTACTCATATTTGCTCTATCACATGACTAAATTCAGGACCACTCTCTCCCCATGCATGATGAGATTAGGCCTATGGCTCTGTTCGACTTCTTATTTCAACAACAACAACAATAACAAAAATGAGAGTCTTACCCTCTTTAAATGAGCCCACAGTACCGTGTCTTAGTTGACTAAGGCACCTAAGAGTGTAAGACCAGCGCCCTGTGTCTCTGGCCTAAGTGAGCCGGCAAGCAAAGAGGTGACAGCCACCTTTGGGACTCAGGATGGAGACTGCCTGTCTCTGTGCAATGCTTAAAAAGCCAGCTTGGATAAGATGATAGGAAGAGCTGTTTTGCTAGGAAGGAAAGTCTGCAGGGTTATAAACAGATTAAGAAAAGTACACGTCTGCATTGGGTTGGTAGTTATCTCGTTACTGCCTATGGGTCCAAAGATCTTTTCTTTTTTAAAATTGAGATATGATTCATATACCTCAAAATCCACCCTTTAAAGTGTATAACTTCCTGGGTTTTTCCAAAACAATTTCATCACCCTCCAAGTCACTGGAGAAGAAGGAAGAAGAGATCTTAATTCTGCTCCCAGCTTTCTCGAAGAGGCTGACCATCTGCTGACACAGAGGCTGCACTGTGACAGGCCACTGACCACTCACCCGCAGCTTGTCCCGCTGCCTTGTGTGGGACAGCAGAAGCTCTTCGGTGGATGGCACGCCTCTGGGAAGCTCTGTCGTGGCCAGGTGGGCCCCAAACATCTGAAGCATCTGGGCAGTGGTTTTCAATGTCAAGGCAAAGTTTTCTATGGCCTGGAAAGTCAGAAAATCATAACGATGTGGAGGGATTAACATTCGACACTATGTGTTATCAGTGGAAGGACGGTAGAATCCGCTACCATTTCCCGAGTACCTGCAATGGGCCATGTCTTACGCTTGGTGCTACACGTTTATCTGTCATCTCAATGATCCAGAGTGGGGGGTATTTTATCTCCATGTTATAGAAAAGGGAGCTTCAACAGGTCAAGTGAATTGCCAAGACCCTATTACTTGGGCAATAAGAAAAGGAGGCAGGTGGGATTCAAACAAGGTCAGCTCTTTCAATTTCAGAAGGCTGTTTGTTACCTTAAGAACATGTAACACTAAATCTGACTCAGGATTTACATTAGATAAGACGCTAAAACGTGCAGAACCACTCACCACCCCCTCCACTAAAACTTTCCTTCTCTTCTAGTCCCTACCTGCCCTCCATCTTCCCATCACCTGTACCCACACAGCCTGGCTGCCACCAAGAAACTTGTCAAATGCCACTGACAGGATATGACATTGAGGGAAAAGATGAATGCAGTGATTAGGTCACTAGTGACGTTTAACAGAGTCATTTCTGGCACATGTGTGAAGAGAACGGGGGGGCCTCTTCCTCTCTCTTCTCCTTTAAAAAATTTACCTTGTTCCGTGACCCTTTCACTTAGGGACAGACCCTACTCTGCCTTTAAACGAATACCAGCTAATGAGTTAGAGACTTCACGGCTAACATCCACGGCGAGATATCAGCATTCTAGCAGGGTGCTTTAGGGAACACGCGGCCTAACCTAGAAAAAGTGGCTCTGACCGTCAGAAGAGTTAGTGGAATGTGAGTGGCTTTTCAAAGTCCTACAAATCATCCTACCAGCCAGACCGGCACTGCCTCGCCATTCCCCTCTGCTCTGGAGAAAATTTTGCCCCACAGGGCAGCACAATGTCGAGTTCATCTCTTCCCCCGGGGCGCAGCACTGTGCCCGTCTCTCCCGTGGCCTACACAACTGCTGAATGGGCGAATGGTCGGAGCAAAGAGGCCAACCTGATTTTCATTTGGGAAAAACTTATTTCTGTTCCTACATTATCAGAGAAATATTATCATTTCTGAAAACCCAAACACACATCATAAAGAATGTGCCAGATTTGAAGGGTCGCTTCTTTACACCAGAGGCCAGGGCTGGGGCCGACAGGATCAGGCTTCCGGAGCTCAGCACCCACCTCCCCCACTGTCTCAACTCGAGTCTTCTCCACATAAAGCACTTTCATTTTTGAGCGTTGCTTTGGGTGGAAGCTCCCCTATTGGCACAAGCATTGATGAAGCAACCGTCTTTAACATTTTTTTTAAATTTTCAATTACAGTTGACACAATATTATATTAGTTTCAGGTGTACAATGAAGTGATTAAACATTTATGTAATTTACAAAGTGATCCCCTCCATAAGTCTAGTACCTAGCTGGCACCTAACTATTTCAATATTATTGACTGTGTTTCTTATGCTGTACTTTACTTCCCGGTGGCTATTTTTGTAACTGCCAATTTGTACTTCTAAATCCTTTTCACCTTTGTCACCGCCCCCAACCTGGCAACCCTCAGTTTGTTCTTGTATCTACGAGTTTGTTTTGAATCAGTAACGATCTTGAACCTCACAGTACTGTAGTCCTGAAAAGTCAGACAAGCAGTAACTTTTATAAAAGCCTTTTCAGTACATCAAAGTGTTATTACTTTTACATAATCTAATATCCATATGAGATATTCTTTGAACTGCATTCACTAATAGCTTATGATGAATAACAAAAATTTCAACTTATCAGGGAATTATAAGAAAATGTGAAGTTATTCAGTATTTTGCTTTACATGCCCTATCTTTTATAACACATCTCACTTAGGTATTATTCTTATCACTGCCCTGCTCTATAAATGAGGAAACTGAAGCATATGGGGGTTAAGTAATTTTCCCAAAGTCATATAAAAAATAAGTGGCGGAACTGGAATTGAACCTGGGTAATCTGGCTCGAGGCTGGCACTCTTAAACACAATGTTACCTCCTGGCAGTCAAAACGAGGTTTAATAAAACTAGATTTAAAACTAGATCCCCAAAAGATGAGGCTTTGAGCGCTGAAAGCCTGAGTTAGCCTGCAGAGGCCGATCATCTCTAACGGTGTGGCCCCGGGGTGAGCCGTGTGACACCTTTGAGTCTCAGTGCCCTCGTCTGAAAAATAGGGGTAAGGGCTTTCGCAGGGTTTGAGGACCAAAAGGAACAGCAAATGAGAAAGGACTTTGGACACAGTAGGGCACCTTACAGATGTAACAATAATAACAGAAACGACCCAGGGGGTCGGGTGTGAGGCCTGTAAATGTCATCCTGGAGTGAGAGGAGAGCCAGAGGTTTCCTGTGGAGGCCCCAATAGCAAAGCAACTCGATTCCAAGGGGTTGGTTAGTGAATAATCTGCCTTGGAAGTGGTACAGAGGACCTCATGCTGAGAGGGGGACAAAAAAGAGCTTGGCCTTAGTCTTGGCTCTGCCACTACTTGACTGTAGGACCTTGGATGAGTCACCTCTGTGCTCTGAAGGTCAGTTTCCTCACCTGCAAAATAAGGTGATTGACATCAATGACCTTTAAGGTTTTTTTCAGTCCTAACTTTTTATGAGTCTCAATGATGTGACATTCAGAAAGCACACTGTTACCAAAAAAGGACCTACATATTCATAAGATATGGTAATATATATTGTGAATATATATTTCTAATTACAATATACGTGCGCATATATAAAATATATACATTAAACATGCAAAAGGATGTAAATAACATCTCGATGTTTCAGTACTAGTTGTGTTATTTAAAGTTCACTGCACTGTGTGTAACACACGCACAAACGCAAACCAGGGGTGAAAACTAGGCCTGGGGGGAGGGGTGCGTGTGCACATGTCAGCTCAGGTCACGTCTTTAAATGCTCGGTCTTCACGGCCTCAGTTTTCTTTGCCTCTCAAATTCTTTTTTGTCTGTGATGTCAAGGTGCACTCATTTCTTTTTCTTCATCTATTGCAAGTTTGTGTTATGTCAGAAAAACCTAAGGCCACTTGAAAAACATGAACAGCATTATTAAAAAAAGGACAGGCAGAGAAATCAGGGCAAAAGGGGAGTTGGCTAGCTCGAAAACGCTGGTGGGATAGTAAAATTCTCTTCCTTTTTAAAGTAATGCATGAAAAATGTAGCAACTCGATTCCAAGGGAAAAATGTAGCAACTCGATTCCAAGGGAAGAAAGCAAGCCGAGCACCTCCAGGTGCCGAGTTTTATGAGGTTTAAAGAAGCCGCTTCCTGGGACAGCCCTCGTCACCCTCGTGCGACGTTCCGCACTGGCTTCCCTCGTATCTCATATCCACGCTTACTTAGAAATTACATGTTTGTGAAGAACGTTACACTCTTTATCTGTTGGTTTGTTTGCTTTGCTTTTCATAGTATACAGTCTCTGGGAGTCACCACTGTTGCGGTAAAACCTATGGGAAGCCCCAAGGGAAGCTTGCCCAGCTCACGGGCCTTCCTCCAGGTTTGGGGAGGGGACATGCCTTTTTTGAAATTACATGGCATACGAAGAAGTGAGGGAGGAATTAGAATCTGCCACTTTGAAATTATGTTGTGAGAAATCTATGTCAATTCTTAAACTTCCTTTTAAAAAAAAATCACAAAACATTACACTCTACAATGAGGTGAATTCTCATACTTAATTAAACGTCATTCAGGTGTTGGGTAACATGTTTCCAAAGTGACCAGACACAGAGACGTGTGCTGATGCCACAAGTTGTCATAAGGGTGGTGAACGGAGCTTTTCATTTTGCTTAGAAAACCTAATTTTTTCAGGGCTCTGGGGGCTAGAAGAGCAGGGAAAGGGGAATAACAACTTTATACAGAAACACATTATTTAGTGAGTTTCAGCTTCACTTTTTCCTCAGTATTACTGACCCCTCCAAAATAACTACCAATTTGACTATGTGGGGAAAAGTGAAACATCATATATATATATATATATATATATATATATATATATATATATATATATATATATATATATATATATATCAGGTGTTTTCACAGCTTTCAATCCGTCTATACATTAGAACCATCTGGGGCATTTTGTGAAACACTCTCGTGCCTGAGACCCATCCCAACTCATGTAAATCAGTTTCTCTGAGGTAGAGCAGGGTATCAGTATTTTGAAAATCCCCCAGGTGCACTCTAAGTCAAGCCCCCGAAACTCCCATGCCAGAAAAGGAGCCGAGATGAAGGTAGTCAGCCAGCGGGAGAAACTCCAGCCTCTTCCCTTCACCCTAGTTCCCCGCCCACCTCGTGGCTTGGAAAATCCAGCCTTCTCAGGGTTAGGCAGTCACAGGCGATGACCTACCAACGGTTGATCTCAGCTCCCCTGTCCCCTGGAAAACAAGGGGAGACACTGAAGAGGGCACACAAGCCGGTACTCACAGTTCGATGGTTTATCCACTGACTGTGGCGATACTCCAAAGTCCCCCCCAAGTCCTCTGTCAGTTGGCTTTTGTCAATGTAGCCTTGAAGGTCAGAGATGGAACTTAGCAGGATAATCTAGAGAAGGAGAAAAAGAATACATTCCTCACAGGTAATTAAAGAGTAGCTCATCGAGATTCTACTGTCATTTAAATAGTACAACTTTGCCTTCTTGGACATATATCCAAAACAGTTATATCCAGCAGAGAAAGTCCCTTTCCACTTCCCCCCTTTGAGAGAACAATGCCAACGTGTTGAATGGTCTGTGACAAAACGGCGACTTGGATCAGGGAGCTCACATCTCAGCTACCTAGAAGTCAGGTCTTGCTTGAGGTGAATTTTTGTCAAAAATTCCCAGCTTAAGGTATATTCTTCAGCCACTAAAATCAAGTTCTGTACTGACACCTAAAAATCTGTCATGAAAAGCCCAATATAGGGTGGGCTGACGAATAACAAAATAAAATTAGAATATAAGGACCTACTAAGGAGTAAGTATTGAAAAGATTCATTCCCTGGCCGGGTAGCTCAGTTGGTTAGAGCATCTTCCCAATATGCCCATGTTGCGGGTTCAATCCCCAGTCAGGGTACATACAAGAATCAACAAATGAATGCATAGTAAGTGGAACAACAAGTCAATATTTCTTTTCCTCTCTCTCTCTCTGTACCTCTCTCCCCCTCTCCCCCTAAAATCCCCAAATTTTAAAAAATTTTAATAAATATTCATTGTTGATGCACTCCCATGAGGAATGCTGATATGCCCCCATCTAATCTTTACAGAGGAGATGTGAAGGTAACAGAGGGTGGGTTTTCATAAACTAAGGATCCTGCTGCCGAACACACCGGTGCTGACGAGGGACTGCCCGCACGTCTGCAGGAAGACCACACGGTCCAGACCGCCCCCAGGCAGGGCCCTGGCTCTCTGTCCCTCACTGTAGCACACCCCTACTCACTCCTGCCTCTGAGCTGCATCCCCTGAAGCCTCTGTCTAATGAACTTCTATTTCTTCCCTTCTTGTGGATTATTTTGAAAGTTGATATTTGTTCAGAGGACATAAGAATACAGGCTTTCTCCTATTAACATATGTATTAGTCCAGTGATAAGTCCACTTTGGAATGAAACAAGGAAAGTTAGGACCCAAAATCTAGCAGTTAAAAACACATTGGCTTATTCATTCAGTAAATATATGGTGAACATCTAGTAAGTGTCAGGCTCCCAGGGGTAAAACAGTGAACATGACAGGCCTGCCTTCGAGGAACTTAGGTCCGTGGGATTTGATTTCCACAGATCACTCTGCAACCACAGCACGGCCCAGGACTTCCTCCTTCATTTCTGAAGGGGTTTGGGAATTTTTAAAATTATTTTTATGATATAGAAAAAGAAAAAACAACCTAAATCTGTCTGTACCTTTCTTTCCCAAAATCTTTAAGTCATTTGGGAGTTTCAAAAAGATTTTTAGTCTTTCTACAATTAGAAATTACAGGACACATAAGAAATTATCAAGTGAAAAATGATTTTTCTTCTCAGAACATTATGGTAACACTTGGAATTTAAAAAACATACCATTATGCAACATGGTGTTGGGCAGAAGTGAGCTCGCCCCCAGCCTGCAGTTTTAGAAACCTGTCTCGCCAGGTGGCACATCTTCCGCTCCACCTGCTGCTCGGGAGAGGCAGGCGTGCATTCCACACTTGCTGGGTCTCTGCTTCCTCATCTTTCCCGTGGAAACCCCAGAAAGGACCTAGCTAGGCTTTCCCTTCATCCTGCTGCTGCCTTCTGACCGAACCTGGCGTTCCCCTGTGGGCCTGTGCAACCCCTTCCTGGGACCTCTGAGTGCGATGAACCTCATCCTCAAGCCCATTCCCGTTTCCACCCGGGGAACACCAGCTTGACGGCACCGCATTTAACATGGACACTCCCCGAGCAGCTGTTTAGATTAACAATGTCATATGTTTTCCTTTTCAGTATACATTTGTGTTCTTATCTTTGTTTGCTTGAAACTGTTCTTTTGAGGAGATATGTGATCTTTTAATTATGAAGAAGCATTTCCTATATTCTGTCACACACTCCATCTTAAGAAACCAATCTGCACGTCCACAGCCTCGTTAGGGATTTTTTCGAGATGCCTTGGCCACTTCACATAACAATTTCATGAGGCTGCTATGGGTACTGCTGTTCTAGAATAGATACCAGCAGTTGGCATGGCACTCAGAAACCCTTCGCTATTTCAAAGCACCCCAATCTTTGCTGGAAAGGTACAGCAAAACTAAGTGACTTAACCACAATTACATCCTGGTCCACCTGAATCTCATAAGAGTCATGCAAAGTAAACTCCTTTCCCCTCACTCAACCTGTGAAAATATAACTAGAAATGAGCAGGTAGATGTTATAATAAGAGAGGACAGGGAGCTACAAAGTAAAGTGCTAATATCATATCCATGTTTTCAAAACAAAGTGAAGAAGATAGCCAGCAGCTTGAACACTTTAAAAACCAAATATACTGCCCTGGCTGGCATAGCTCATGGGTTGAGTGCAGGCTGCGAACCAAAGCATCGCAGGTTCGATTCCCAGTCAGGGCACATACTTGGGTTGCAGGCCACGGCCCCCAGCGACCGCACATTGATGTTTTTCTCTCTCTCTTTCTCTCTCCCCTCCCTCTCTAGAAATAAATAAATAAAACCTTAAAAAATAATAAAAACCAAATATACTTTGAAGTTTGATGACATCAGGCCTGGTAAACTAGGACTCTGAATTCTGTAGCACATCTGAGCTATGAGGGGAAGACAATCTTCTCTGTAAGATGAAATAGTAGCCTACAGGATACACTTTTCCCTTAACAGATACCCTGCTAAATGTGCCAATAGTTTGGGTGATTGAGAGTTTTCTGAAAAGCTGATTGCAGTTTAAAATTAAAAGTATGATGGGCAGGGAATCTCCACATCGCCACAAACAGAAGTAGTTAAAGACACAGTGTCCAGACAAAGTAGGTGTTCACTCTGTCTTTAGCGTGGATGTACCACATGAAAAGCGGGACATGAATCACATATGTTTCAGTCTACGTGTTAACACTTGGAGAGGCGTGTTTTATACACAGCCAGGGAAACAGACACACCCGGCATTTGGGCAAATGCTCTGTTCAAACTCCAGACCATTTCCAGTGGCCAGGAGCAACTGACCGCTCTTCATCTCCAAAGGGGAAGAGAAAGCTTATGTGTATTTTGACAAATTCATCAACCTCTTGTAAGTTGTAATTTCTTCCCCAATCTTAACTGTTACTCAATTTAGAGAGATAGAATAAGAAACTCATGGCTTGCGTTTCCCTTAAACACTTGGATATTTTAAAACAAGTATTTAAAATAGAATCAGAAATTCATTTTGAGACCAAAGTATAGGAAGAAGGTATTTTAATAAACTTGATTATTAATATAAAATGGAACCCCAAAAAGGAAAAATAAGAGTGAAAAGCAAAGAGAAAAAATGAGAAAAATCCTTTGCCTGAGATGGTCAGTTATCACTGAGATGGGTTAAATACTTTCCCAGAGCAATTTCAATTAAAGTGGGGTTTTTTGCTCTTTTGAACAAATCATGTGTGTAGGTGGTAATAAATCCAAACAGAAAAAGGGTCTATCTAAGTAGAAAAACAGCCTTCCTCTCCCCTACCCTCGGCCTGCACTGCCACATCCAGGAGGTAACTATTTCCACCAGTTCTTGTAAATCTTCCATGTCCTTCCTCATGTGATGTGTGGGCATACCATCCCATATATGTGCCTCCTGCTTATTCAAATGCAAACAAACTTTACATACTAGTCTCCCTTAGCTTTTAATCCCCACTTAAAAGTGTATCTCAGGTGGACTATGATTTAAGGTATCAGTGTGAACTCTGTGATTCATATATTCATATACATATGTGTGTGCTTACATGCATGTGTGCTTATGTGTATATCTGTGCACATATGTATACACTCTACTGAAAGGGCCTAGAAGGAAAGTGACCTGAGTAATAATAGGACCCCCAGCATCTAGATCTTGGTCTAATTTACCAGCACAAAAACCCAGAGCTCCTCCAAGACGGGGCTAACTACAGGGCTGGATTAGGGCTTTTGCATTACGTATGGGGTGAGGCTACACATCATGTTAGGACAGAAAGTAAGAAATACTAAAAAAATGACAAGGGCATGTCACAAGAACATAGGAGACAGTGTAAAGTGGCTCCTACTGGCCAAATCTGGGACAATTTGAGAACCAAAACAATTAAGAATAGTAACGAATTATAAACCACTGAAAAATAAGAATCCATAATGATCACAGACAAATAAATAACTAGGGGAGAAGGGAAAGTTGTACCTTACAGTAGAAAACCAAATTCTGATTAATAAATGTTGAGAGAGTGTTAGAACTGAAAAATCACTATTTTGCAACCAATAATAATGGTTGTTTCAGGCAAGAATCATCAATGGTTATTAAATACAGAGAGGAATTGTTTTTGAGGAGTAGGATATTTGTATGATCTTAAAAGTGTCTCTCCAGAGATTACTTATTCCCTGCAAGGAAAAATGTGATAATACGCTTGAGCATTTGGACCCCACCTCGACTAGGGGGTCAAAACGAACACCGCCAACGAGGAGCAGGCCAACACCGTGCACCTGCACAGGCCACACCCTGAAGGGGACAGGCCGTGGACGGAGAAGTATTCCAGCGGGGAATGCACAGACCGAGGCGGCTCTGCAGAAACCATTACACAGCCCAGATGAGGTGTGTCTTATTTTGTTTAAGAGCCTGTATTCTTTAAAAATGCTGACGTCATCAACAACAAAGGAAGGTGGTGGAAATGATTCTGATTAAAGGATCCAAGGAGACGTGACAACTAAACGCACCACCTTGTCCTAGGCTGGACCCTGCTGTACGCACACGCACACTCACCCCTCACCTGTGTGCACGCACCCACAGTCCCGCAATGAGTGTCCTTATAGCTTCGAGGGCTTCTACAGGGTGTGCACATTTCTATATGTGTATATTCTTATTGAAGTATTTACGTGTACAGTAAGTGTTATCAAAGTATTTCATTGCTTGGGCAGACCATAATTTATTTAACCTGTCCCCTGTAGTTGAGCACAAAGTTGTTTCCAAATCATTTACTATGTAAACATGTGTGTATGTGTATACTTTACATATATATTTACCTCTCTATTGTGCAACATATATGTAATATATTATTTATACTATGTAAATATAAATATAAGTATTTATATGTGTAGTATATGTATCCATATATTATATAATACATTAATGTAAAAGTACAGGTATTGATTATATTAACATAATATGTAATATATAGATGTACACAGCTATTATATGTATATACATAATATAATATATAATATATAGGTGTGTACATCTATATATAATAATGTATATAGAGAAACAAATAATAAATAATAAAGCAATTGGGGATAAAGTGTTAACAATAGGTAAGTGAATCTGGGTAAAGAGCATGAGCTATTCTTTGTACTATTCTTATTCTTTGAAGTTTTTTTGTGAGTTTGAAATTATTTCCACCTAAACCAAAAATATATATTAGAAACTTTTCTATAACACCACAGATTTATCTTATATATTTTTCTTTTTTTCATTTTTAATGGCGATATCACTTGCATTTTAAAAATGCAGATTTTAATGGTACAGTTAAATGAGTTTTGATAAATGTATACACACATGCAGCACCATCCAATCAAGACATAGAGCACTTTCCCAGAAAGTTTTCTTGCACCTCCTTCAAACCGATCTGCACTGTCACCCCTAGCAGCAGCCACTGTTTGGTTTGCCTCGTCTTTTTTTTTAGAATACATTAAAAGAATTTATTTATTTTATTTTATTGTAATTGTTGTTGAAGTACAATTTTCTATATTTTACTCCCATCCCAGCCCACCCACCCAGCCCTCCCCACCTCCCTCCCATTTCCACCCACCCCTAGTTTTTTATCAATGCATCCTTTATACTTGTTCCTGTAAACCCTTCCCCCTTTTCCCTGAAATTCCCTCCCCTCCCCCCTCTGAATGCTGTCAGCCTCTTCTTGAACTTTGCATTAAAAGATTCACAGAGTGTGTACTTGTTAACGTCTAACTTCTTTCTCGCCAGAGAATATTTTTGAGATTCATCCATTGCTGTTGTATGTATCATTATTTCACTCTTTTTATTGCTTAATGTTATTCCATTATATGAATATGCCACAATTTCTTTTTTTAATTTATTTTTTGTTAAAGTATAGTTGACATGCAATGTATTAGTTTCAGATGTACAATGTGGTGATTAGACATTAATATACCTTACAATGTGTCCCCACAAGTCCAGTAACCATTACTGTGCAAAGCTATTATGATGTTACCGACTGTTTTCCCTACACTATACATTACAGCCCCATGACTTCTTTCTTTAGTAACTGAAAGTTTTCACCTCTTATTCCCCTTCCTTTATCACCAGTAGCTCCACCCTCACCCCTCTCGCAACCATCAGTTTATTTTCTGTATCTATGGGCCTGTTCCTGTTTTGCTTTATTTATTCATTTGTTTGTTTTTAGATTCCACATGTAAGTGAAATCTCACAGTATTTATCTTTCTATGTCACAATTTCTTTATCCATTCACCTGCTGAGGGGCATTCTTCTGCATGCTTTTTTGTGGGTATGTGTTTTAATTTCTCTTGGGGGAGTCAGAGGTTAGGCATATGTTTAACATTGTAAGGAACTAACCGACTGTTTCCACTGTGGTTTCACCACACCTTCCCCATTCAGTAGCTGCAAAGTACTTAAAGCGATTGGGTACACCACAATTTATTTAACCAGCCCCTCTTGTTGGGCACTAAGTTATCTCCAAACATGTACTATTACAAACAGTTCAGTAACAACTACCATTGTGTGTGTGGCTTTGTGCATGTGTGTGAGCGTGTCTGCAGCATAACTCCTATAGGTAGGTCAAAGAAAGTGTGCCTTTTACTTTGTGATAAATACTGCCAATTAATCCCTCATATTGTTCATTACTGACTTCATTCCTGTCGGCAAAGTATGAAAGTACAGTTTTCCTCACATCTCTGCCAACGTTATAGGTAAATATTTTAATGTTGTCTTTTTAATTTGATTTCTTTTTATGAGTATCACAATGTCGGGGTTTTTTCCTACAATTGCCTGTACTTACATCACCCCCATATTTTAGATCTTTTTCTTTTGCCTGTGCTACTGCAGTTTCTCTTCATCCTTTGATCTCTTTCTACAGTCTGGAACACTGCTTCACATTTATACAACTCCAGTACCACCTGCCCAAGGCATTCGCCCACTCACACCCCTTTGCTGGCTCCCCATTCCTACTGTGTAAAACCTACACTCTTCGTCCTCATATGTAAGACTGATTCCATGTATTTCACCTTTTCTTCCGAAAGCTTATCCTATATGTATTCCAACAAGGGGCTTCCCCGTGAGCGAGCCTCACAGGAAGTGTCTGCTTCCTGCCTCCATGTCCTCGCACATGCTGTTCCCCCTGCCCAGATGTCCTTCTCTCCCTCTCCACCTGCGGAGTCCTACCTTCCTAAACACCTGGCCCCAGTGCCATCTGGCCCACTTGCCCTAACCAAACAAAGATGAGATAAAAGTCATGCTTACCGGTACTTTCATTTTAAACTCATCTCGATAGTATCTAATGCCAATGTCAGTGAGTGTCCTCTGGATGAAGCGAGATGGACGAAGGATGAATATGAGCTGCAAGTTTCCTGGAAATGCTACCTGGAAGGATCATGAAAAGCATCAGGGTGAGTATCACATCCATTGGTCTCCTCTTGCCTGAGATCACAAACAACAAAGTTAAAGTGGACACCACGGATGCTGAAGAATTAGAACGGATTTCACAGGACTTCAGAGCTGAAAGAGATCTCAGAGATCAGATTATTTCAACCTCCCCTTAAAAAACAAACTAAACCAAATAAACACACAAAAGTGTTTCTGATTATAAACACAATTCATATTCCTTATAGAAAAACTGGGAAATAAAATTATACGGTAGAAAAAGAAAACCAATTATGATCTCAAAGCTATTTTTAGCATTTTAATGTAATTACTTATAGGCTATTTTCTCTGCTTAAACATTTTTTTCATGGTTAAATTCATATTGTAAAAATATTTTGTGACCCACCTTTTCATTTAATATTAATACCATGAGATTTTATTCTTGTTATTTATTAAAATTCTTTGGAAATATTATGTTTCATGGGTGCACAATTTATTTAACTATCTCTTATTGCTAATGATTTAGGCATTTTCTAAATAACAGTGATAACAATAAGTAACTTTTGCTGTCATAAATAACAGTGAAATGAACATCTTTATTCACATTTCAGAACACTTTCTTAGGATAGCTTCCTGGAAGAATTACTGGGTCAAAGACCTAGTATTTCAGGGTTCTTGATGCATGTATTGCTCAGTTGCTTTCAGGAAACATTGTGTTCATCTTGAGGTGAGGTCCTGAGAGCTGAAATAATGCAGATTCACATGACAACGTTGTGGCAAAGTTGGGAGTCCAAGTCTCCCTTTGCTTATGGTTTTCTATTCTTCCAGTGGTTCCCAAAAGCAACCTCCTGAGGTGCTTCTTAGAAAAAAATCTGCTCTTTGACTTGGAATGTTCTGATTCATCAGGACTTCGATGAAGTCCAGGTATCTGTATTTTCAATAAGTACGTAAACAGATTGCGATTGGTAGCCGGGGATCCCACACCACAGTATATTTTATGCATAGTGATCAGTGTAATTCTTGGACAAATTAGGCTCAAGTATTAGACGACTCAAGTGTTCTCTATGGACCCTGGGAAATCAGGAATCTCTAGAGATCAGACCCCTGGAATAGTCACAGGCACTGTCCAGTGTCCGAATCCTCACGGCATCAACTGTCTTTGGAGTTACCCTCCCAAAATCCTAAACTGAATCCTAAACTTAGTTTTAGGAACCAAAACTAAACCGAAGGGACAAAACAATCCAGGCATAAAGGAAGGGAGACTCCCTCCTACCGTCTTTGACATGCAAGGCCCTAAACAGAAAACAGTTGCATCTGTTACATCACAGCAGGACAGAGGAGCTGGGACGCTCTCTGTGCGCCCGGCCAACGCACTGAAGGGACCCCCAGAGAGACGCTGCGCATGCGCACATCTGCACATGGGACGGCATCTGCAAGTGGGCACGGGTGAGATTTCAAATGTCCCTCTCCCGCCCCCGCCTCCACACACGCACTGCCTCCCTAGCACATCCCGTCCTCTTCATCCAGCCCCAACTGTTCCCGGGAGTCCATGCGTCGGTGGAAATGCTGGTGTGGTTTGCCCTGAGGTGCCTCTGCCTGCCCATGTGACTGAGCTTTCTGGTCTGAGGTCCTTACAGAGAAAGCACACATCTACTTGCTAAAAGGCAACAAACAGGGGTCAAAATCAGGCCGATAAAATTAAAAAGATACTCATCCTAGGTTGCACAATTTAATGCTAAAAGTAAGCACACTTTCAATCGAGCTACTTAAATATCGTTTTGTCTGGTTTAGCTAGTGTCTTTCTAATATTAAAAAAAATATATGAATGCTGAAATGAAGACTGTCTTAAAGTGGGTGACCCTCAAAGCAAAACCTAAGGCAAGGATTCAGGTACAAAGAGTTTATTGAGGAGGTGATCCCAGGAAGCTCAGTGAGGAGGTTGGTGGGGGTGAGACACCCATGGCTAGAGAGCCAAAGTATCAGGGAGGGGGCGCTGCTGTGGGCAAGGAGGCTGGGCCCCTCCGGGATGCTGTGTGGACAATACCTCAGAATCGTCCCACTGAACCTGGGGCGTCTACTCACCAAAGTCCATGACTCCACAGCTGTAGGTCACTCTTGGGGCATTAACTTCCCAGCATTCTCCACCGACCCCTCTTCAGTGACCACAGAAATGAGTAAAGGAGAGAGACTCGGGAAGCCTTTAACATGCTCAGGAATTCTCTGCAGTGACCATTAGGTGCCAGAAGGGATATGGGTGGATACAGCAAAGACCTTCCCCAAAATTTGGCATAAAATAATCACCTTTTCCCAGTGACTTTGACATGAAATAATTGAATAGACCACTTACATTACTTTTATTAAAAAAAAACAGCACAAAAATAAATATTTACGGCTATTCGTGTCAAGGACGCTTTTACGGAGCTCCACTTGTCCCTTCGTCTGTCGATAACGATGACAAATCCGATGCCAGCAGCCTCCATACTGCAAAAAAACGGGGGTCGGTATCAGAGACCAGGAGAGGCATGTGGGCTCTGGGCGGCTCCTGCAGAAAAGGCGCTCCGGGATCGGGTGTGAGAAACGCTGCACAGCACAGGGGGACACTAGGCCTGACCTCCCTGACGTGGGACCAGCCTCCTCTCCACCTATCGCCGGGCGGTATGGGGATGGTTGGTGCTCTAAACCCTCTCAAGGCCTCTGTTTCTGGCTGGCACATGTATGACACACCCAACAGCACACGTGCTCCTGCATGAAGGAGCACACCTTGGGCGAGCACCACGTGTCCCAATGTCAGCAGAGGACCTCAAGGCTGAGCTCTGCCATCTTTCTACACCCAAAGCCGGCATTCCTAGAGCCATCGATACACTTTCTGAGAGGTATTCAGAATGAACATATGTCATTGACAGAAACCAGTCCTCCCCGTGCCTGGCCGGAATCAGCCAGCACACCATATGCATGAGAAGATTCCTTTGTGAAGACCAAAAGGAAGCTGCTGTCTGGTCTCCTCTTAAATCCCCACAATATTCTCACAGAATCCTCTTAAACTAAAGTCCTAAAAGAATAAACTTCTTTCTCTCTTTCTCTCTCTCTCTCTCACTCTCACTCTCTCTCTCTCTCTGAGAGGAAGAACAGAGGAAAGAGCCAGGGCCCCGGAGCCTGGTGCAAATCCCAGTGCTACCACTTACTGCACTGAGATGCTGGGGAGATCGCCTAACCTCTCTAAAGCCAGTTTCCTTATCTGTAAAATGGGAACAATGCCACCAACAGTGAAGTGGTTAAAAACATGTTTTCTGAAGCCAGAGTGCCAAGGTTTGAAGACTTGGCTACTCCCTCTTACAGACTGTGTATTGTGGAGGGGACATTACTTAGTCTTTAGTTTCTCAGACTCTTCATTTGTAAAGTAGGAACAATAATAGTACCTATCTATAGGGTTGATGTGAGGATTAAATGAATACATAAACTATCAAATGAGATATATAAAATGTTCAGGACAATGCCTGGCACTTGGTAATACTGTATAAGTACTACTATTATTATTATTATTTTTTAAATATTTATGTATTTTTAGAGAGAGGGGAAGGGAGGGAAAGTGGGAGAGAAACATCAATGTGTGGTTGCCTCTCTCCTGACCCCTACTGGGGACTTGGCCTGCAACTCAGGCATGTGCCCTGACTGGGAATCAAACCAGCAACCCTTTGGTTTGCAGGCTGGTGTTCAATCCACTGAGCCACACCAGCCAGGGCTATTTCTTATATGCTTGTTACAGAGATTATAAAACACAAATTATATGAAAAGTATCTGGCCTATAATAAACCTTCAGTAACTCCCTAATGTTGGGGAAAGGTGAGCTTTACTTTAAAAAGTACCTGTATGTGAATAAGGCAGAAGATCTAAGCAAAATCTGCATGAAAACATGAGTAGCTGATTTGAAGTAAGCACCACTGAGCCGACCGTTATCACAGCCCCACACTGGCCCAGGGTCTCTCACTGGGAACGCTTTCCAGAAAATGGTGCAAGCAGCAGTGGTCTCACTGGGCGGAAGAGGCAGGGACTGGAGACTATAAGTGGAAAAGTGGCCAGACCTCAAGGAAGGTGGCTGCCAAGAAGGAAAGCCTCACAGGGGGAACCCCAGTATTCTTCATGTTCATTCCACTTTAGTGCTTGGTCGATTCCTGGGCCCCCAAGTTCAGGTAAGACCCCAGCAGACTGGCAGAGAGTAGCAACAGCACAGGCAAGAACTGATGAAAGAAGATGAAACTTGCACCACTGTGGGGAGAGACGACTGGTGTTTAGGCCCCACCAGAGGAGACAGACCTCGATGAGCACCCTGGGCATGCAGGCGGAACTCCAGAAAGGCCACATTCTAAGACAAACCCAATGCCATAAGAACTGAGGTTGCCCTAAGAAGACCTAAAACCAGGCCTCAGAAAGATCAAGGTGATCCACCAGTAATTTAACTGCCTGTCAAGTCAAAATTCAATATTGTTTGTGAGCAGATAAGCCTCCACAACATAGCACCCTCTAAATCCGGCATCAAGTAAAAAATTAATAGACCTACAGAAAAACAGGGAGAAGTAACCAATAATCAAGAGATGAAATAGTCAACAGGTACAGTCTCAAAGATGTCCTTGTAGGTGGCAGGAAAAAACTTAAAATAACTATGATCAATATGCTAAAGAGGAAAAGTAAATAAAAGTGGATTAAAAGATGCATTATTTCAACAGAGAATAATTAAAATTTATAATAAAGAATCAAATGGACCTTTTGTAATTACAAGACATCAATATCTGAAATTAAGAGCTCAGATTTGTTTAAGAGCAGACTGAACACAGAAGAAATAGGTAAATGTTTTCTGAACAAAAATACCAGAAAAGTTTTGTGGTGAATGTGGTATTTTCTAAAATCATATAGCATATAAACAGGTAAACATTTACTGAATTATAGAGTGGAGATCTGTATACTATATGTAAATTGTAACTCAGTTAAAAAACCGGAAGAATCAAACAGATTCGAGTTGTGAAAAAAGAACTTGCTGTAAGAACTGAGTCAAATACAGGGGGACCAACCACCCCGGTTTGTCCAGGACGCGGAGTTCCCTGGGGAACTTTCTGCTGAACGTGGGGCAGTCCCAGGAAAACCAACACCACTGGTCACCGTAACTCAAATGTCTAAGTCCGAACACTCATGTGAAGGCCACTGGCACACCATGTATGGGACTTCTTCCTGAAGGAACTCAAACTACTTTCTCGGATCACTTAGGTTTCTGGACAGTCACTCTGTGATCGTCGGTAGTCTGAGAAACTCCCTTTTGAAGAGCAGTGCTCAGGACTGTTCCTGGTATAGGAGTTAAAATGGATGACCTATGGCTTCTTGTTTCTTCTTTTTCACTATTATTCTAACTTCAGAAGTAAAGAATTCATAATGCTTTCCAGTTTTAAGGTGTTCTTGGCATCTTCATTTGCAAAACAGTTGACTGGCAGAAGCTTGTCTCAAACGCTCGGTCCAACTTTATCCTTCTTGGACGTACTAATTCTGTATACCGACAGCAAGTCCTCAGGGACGACTGATGTGCTCCTGCAAATCCAGTTGGTAAGTTTTATAGTGTGTGGAAGAGACGATGAGATAATCTCAGATAAAGACTGGAGACACAGGGGACAATTAGTTTAATCTCTTGAGTATTGCAGAACCGTCACTGTACCTTCCCTTGCCCTCCAAACCTGGCACTTTGCCTTTCCTTATCATTTGCTCTGCAGTTCTGCACCCCTTGACAGCAGGGACACATTCTGAGGAACGTGCTGTTGGGCGATGTCGTCGCTGTGCAAACATCATAAAGTGCACTTACACAAACCTGGGGGGGAGAGCCCGCCACACACCTTGGCTACAAGGTGTAACCTACTGCTCCTAGGATACAAACCCATACCAGGTGTTACTGTGTTGAATGCCACAGGCAACTGTGACACAATGTAAGTATTTATGTTTCTACACATAGAACAAGTACAGTAAAATGGGGTATAAAAGATAAAAAGTAGTACACTGACCAGGTAGGGCACTAACCATGAGTGGAGCCTGCAGGACTGGAAGTCGTGAGTGAGTCAGTGAGTGTGTGGGGAGTGAGCATGAAAATCTGGGGCACCACTGTGCATGGCTGTAGGCTCTGTAACCACTGTACACTCAGGCTGCACTATACTCAGACACAATGATTTTTCTTTCTTCAGTAGTAAATTAGCCCTAACTTACTATAACTTTTTTACTTAACAAACTTCCAAATTCTATCTTTTTGACTCTTTTGTAAGAATACTTAACTTAAAACATAAATACATTGTACAGCTATACAAAATATTTTCTTTATATCTTTATTGCATACACCTTTTTCTATTTTTTTTACTGCTTACCCTTTTTTGTTAAAATTTAAGACACAAACACACACACGAGTCTAGAACTACAAAGGGTGAGACCCAGACTAATCACTGTCTTCCATGTCACGTCTTCTCCCCCTGGAAGGTCTGCAGGGCAACACCACACCTGGAGCGGTCCTCTCCTGGGATAGCAGTGCCTTCTTTTGGAGCATCTCCTGAAGGACCTGCCTGAGGCTCTTCTCGAAGAGATGTCACTTTTTACATAAATATGTGCACGGTGGTTTGCTTGGTTTGCTTCTTTTTACCATCACAGATATGCTCTGAAGCAGATAATGCACCATGAACATTCCTCTCTATTAATGAAAACCTTTGGGTGTTGGGATTCTTGTTTTCAAACTTTTTAAAGAGCTTGTTGAGGTCTGCAAAAGCTTCTGCTAAGCCCTTCAGTGTGAATTTTCTAAGGGTTCATTTTGCTCCTGCAGCGCCCTTTTCTCTTGCCTAATCTTCACCTGTATGTGCCTATTCCAGTTCCAACCACTCATTATTAGTCAGTTCCTCAGCAACCATGGCTAGGAGCTCCTCCTCTAGCCATCCTCATCCACACTCAGCTTAAAGTTGCTGACTGCCATCTCAATTACAGCCTTGTTGATTTTTGCAGCCTTCTCATTCTTGGCAAAACTTTTGCAGTCATGGACAACCTCCTGAGGGTCTTCTTCCATTTGCTATTCACACACTCCTTGGTGACATCACCCTAAACCTAAGCAAGGTTCTAGATACAGTCATAGATGTTGTAATCTTCCAGAATCATATCAGTGTCTTCCTCAGTTGCAGCAGCAGCCTAAGCAAAGGTCTTCCTCACGTAGTTGGCCTTAAAAGCTGCTATAACTCCTTTGATCCAACTCCTTGGTTGGATTAAAAATGTGGCATTTTGAGGGAGAAACATCACTTTGATACTGTGATGAAGATCACCAATAAAAGGAAGATATCTGGGAGCATTTTACAATTGGTAAAATCTTAAAAGGTATGTTATTCTCTACCTATTTTGCTAACATAACAATTCAGGAGGGCATCTTGGAAGAAGAGCTGGGTCACCCGTGACTTCTCATTTTGCTTTTCAGTTAGGGTTGG